GAATATACAATCAACAACACTAGTAATTTCATAGGTATTCATAAATTCAATGTATATCGAAACAACATAATATAGAACAAAATCATTTAAAAAGTCTGTTTAATTAATAAAATAGGGGGTGAAATGGATTGAGAGGAGAGAGATGGTTATTACAAATAATATAAAAAATACAAATAAAAATAAAAATTAATATACTAGGCCAGCCTGAGAGGCTCCAAAGTCGAGCTTTGGAATTGGAGCCTGAGGCCTTTTTACTAAACGAGCTTTTATATAAGTCCAAGTCTGGTTCCAACAACCAATATTAGGCATGTAAGCCTTAGCCTTCACGAGCCGAGCCAAAAGCCCCTGAAAGGCCCATGACTCGTTTATGACCCCTACTTAAACAGATTAGCGAATTGCAAATCCTAACTTAAGTCGTTATTTATGGCGGTTTAAACGGGGTTGGACCCATTTTATCATCTTATTTGATTTATTTTTAATCAATGCAAGACTTCACTATTATTCACACTTGAATATTTCTATCATTAACAACTCTGTTTAATTAGTGGCGAATCCCGTAGTATGAGAATGCTCTAGGGGATGGGAGTCAAATTCTAAATACTTTGCCCAACACTTGAAAAATAAAAGGTAAAGGACAATTTTAATTTATTAAGATCATAGAGTCTTTGCAAATATAATTTATGAGATGAGCCTTCTTATGTCATAGAGATAAAAATCACATATAATTCATATGTTAGAAAAAATCATGTGTAGAATTCATGTTAACACGAAAATCGAAAGATATGAAAAAAATAATTTCTCTTCCCATATTACATGATAAATATAGAACCCATGATTTATATGGATATTGTAGCATTTTCCGGTTCATGTCATTTCTCTATTTCGTTTGTCTCTTCTCTCATCTCCCATTATCAGATAACTTTTTTCTAAATAAAACTGAATATATTAGTTCTCTTAATTTGACTAAAAGCATGGATATAATTAACGTCGTCAAATATATATATATATATATATATATATATATATATATATATATATATAATGACTTTAGCATATATATATATATATATATATATATATATATATATATATATATATATATATATATATATATATATATATATATATCATGCATCTAGATAATTGAGTATTACAAATATTATATACTTTAAATACTAATTTGTGATAATTTACTATTGAAAATCCATAATGCATGACATAAAACACTGTAGATAATTTAAATATATGAAGCATTTGGATTCCTATTGTCTTTTGATGCGCATCACTACCGATCGATATGGTAAATTTCTCTGTTACGATAACTTAGGGGCAACTCAAATATCTCATAATGCAAGCATAGCCACTACTGCAACCTCCCAGCTCACAAGAGCCATCGAATTCGCGTTGATCCATCCATTGATTTACCTAGTAGGGGCCACTCATTAACATTTGGTGTCTTTTGGAGAAGCAAGAGATCCTACACTTAGCCAATATTATCACCAAAGACTAGCCCTCTTTCAGTTTAACCAAATAAGCTAGCTACATCCCAAAGTAAAAGGATAAGGACTAAACATTATCTTATCTACATCACGGCCAACATGATTGCAAATATTAAAGTGAACCCATTCATATATATTTAGTAACAAAACAAATGGAAATATTCTGAGAACATAGATTGACAAATATCTCTGCCACGCCACTAAATGACACCTTTTCTTTTCAAATGAAGAGCCCCACACACGACACAACCACAATATATCTTCACCAATTTATTTACGTCCCTTTAGGTACTAGTGTGGTCCAGATTGTATTCATTGGAAGAGCCTCAACACTACTCAGTCAGTCTAATCCAACACGCAAACGCCGCCCTCCAGGAGCTTAAGCTGTTTGGCTTTATCAATTAGTAAATAATCAGTGCCCGCAAAAGACTCACAACTCATGATTATATCAAGAAAATGGTCATTTAGACCCATTAGACCCACCTCCTGCAAAGTTTAAGGGGCGTTTGGTACGGGAGAAATTTTTATTTATCCGTGAATCTCAATTTTTAAAAATATAATTTTTACATTCAGTTTATGATAATATCTGAAAATTTCAGTTTTCCAAAAATCCGGAAAAAATCTGTGTACCAAACGGCCCCTTAGGAAACCTCAATTTACCGTATCATAAGTCCTCTCAAGTTCAATTTTAATGGCAAAATAATTTTTCTTTCCCTTGTTCTACATCATATGAATGACATCTTAAGTTATAATAATGTTATCCAAACTATGATGTCTAGAGATAAAGATACATTGATTACTGATTAGGTGACCCAAGGAAATCCATATACGTTTTTTCAGGCTAAAAACAGTAGTTTCTGTGGTTGATTTATAGAACACGTTGCATAAGCTTGTAGGTAGGACGAGAATCTCTAATCCTTTCACGAATTTCAACCGTATTTCACTTACTTAATGATAGTACAAATGATTGATATGACATGATGGGAAATATTTAATATGATCTCTGTCCATTACTTGATTCAGTGATCCGAATCAATCAAAATAAAATATTTTTTTGATATGTTAATTCAGAAAAAAGAGAAAATAAATTTTTTTGTCCAAATATCTCACTCTCAATGAAAGGAACATGTTTATGATGCATAGAAAATGATCTGCATCACTACATGTCATGGGGTGAATTTAATTTTAATACATTGTTGAAATAAAGAAAGTTATACTAATTAATCTTCAATTATATATTGTTATATTTAATAAATTTGAACTTTTATAATTATAAATATAATCAAGTTTATTAAATAACAATATAAAAATACATTAGATCAAAATTAAACTCATGTAAGACAACACACTGCATTATATTTAATAATTAAGTTATATTAAACAGTATTGAATATCAATCACAATCAAAGTGGGTCACGTTGGAAATAATTCACCGATATTCTAAATGCAAACACCAATTCATTTTAGACTGAGACAGAAAAAACTATCAATGTGACTGTTTGTCATTATATGTTAGCCCACTTCCAAAGGGCCACACCATACCTTGCACTCTCATAACTATTTTGTCTGTACTCTATGGCCTGTTCCCGACCCTGCTGAATAATCTCTGTTGTAGGCATGGCCCGTAACTTCCGGTAGCACAAATGCACAATCAGTCAATCACACTAAACTTAACAATCCAGAAAGGAATTCGATATGGGCTTGGACGCTTGCGGGCAGTGGGAAGATAACCTTTTTTTTTTAATTATATTTTTATTTTTTTCGAAGTGTCTTTTAGTTATAATGTTAATTTATTTGTTGGTTTTATTTTTACGTCATAATAATATATACCAATTTAAGATTTTTCTTTTGGGCAGAATTTGGCTTTAGTGGTCAATTTGGGATACCACGAAAACGGGAGTGAAATATTAAGATATTAATGTTACATATCATTTTTATATTTTAAAAAAAATCATATTAAAAATTAATTATATCTACAATATATTTTCAAAAAAAAGTATTAGATAATTAATTTATGGGTTTAAAGTTTAACTTTATCTAATGTTTACCAAAATACAAACAAAAAAGTATATGACATTCCTGTTTTTTTTTTTTCTCTTTTCTCTTCACATTGATCCATATGGATTTCACACATTTTTTGAGTATATATTTTGGTAAACATTAAATAAAGTTATTTAAAGTAACTTTATAAATTTTAAACCCTTATTTTATATATGGGTGATTTATTCATAAATGAATTTCGGACGAAAACCTTTTTTCCCTTAAGATTGGATATAGTTATTAATTAATTATTAATTTTTAATAAATTTTAGTCTAGATTGACGAAAATGATTATTTTAATAGCAGAAGTTGTAAAACTTTTCATTATTAAATATAACCGCCTCCATTAACTTAATGATATTATTTATATTTTAAATTAGGGAAAAATTTATCATTTTAAAGGACAAGCATTTTAGTTAAAATTAATATTTTTATTTAATATTTAAATTAAAAGAAAAACTTTCACTTTCTCCCGCCACGATTTATGTTTTTCTCATCATGTAATACAGTGATTTTACTTTTGACTAACAGTACATAATTTTATGTCCTTTAGTAGGGTAAACACTAATTTTTTTATATTATTTATTTTACAAGAATCTATTAATAAATAATAATAACCCCCTGAATTGCAACGGCGATATCACTTGGTTGTTAATTTGCTATACATCACATTAATGCAGACTTTTAAGTTTGAACCTTGGGAAATTGTTTTGGAGAAACTCCTAGAAGTTGAAAATTATGGCATAGAGTAGGAATTTGTCATAGTCATATGAAAACTATGTGATATAGACCGATACGATAAAAAAACAACACCATATATACAATGCAAAATCATGACAAATTACTCATGATCATTTGCTTCTCTAACCAGACAACAATTAAGGATTAAAAATTGGTCATAGGTGTGGGTGTGAAACTTGATATAATAAATGTCATTGTAAGTTATTAAATTAAATATTCAAAAAATCAATATTTTAAAACATTTATTCTTTAATTAATTTTTTATTAAATTAATTTTGAAAAATAAAAAAACTAATAACTGATTTACTCTAAATGATTAATTTTTTAAAAAAATAAATAAAAAAAACTAATAACACGTTTTTTAAAGTAAAAAGCTAATAACGCGTTAAAAATGTAAAATAAAACAAATGAATCTAACGGTCTAATTTAAATGTCCAGCATTGGTAATATAAAAAACAATTTCATAAATTCTAAAATGCCCAGAAATAATTATATTATAAATTATAATAATCAACTATTGATTACCGATAATAATTATCATATAATGTATTTAACTTAAGTGCAAAAATTTTATACAAGTATTTATTGACTAAAGCTGGCGTATAAAGTATAAACAACATAGTATAATCAAGATTGGAAGCAAGCACGAAAATAGGTGGAGGATAATTTGGTCATTACCATTACGAGTTGGCGTGATTACTTGCATCAGCTAACTTCGAATCGAACCAATAGTAATTGAAATAGAGCCAAATCTCATTGAATATCCCACAGTTTGGGGGAGAAAGCAGAGTGAGAGTGAGATGGCACGGTCGTTACTGCTCCTCCTGTTCTTCGCCGCCGCCGCCGCCGCAGGGTCGAGCTTCGACGATTCCAATCCAATCCGGCAGGTAACGGACGGGCTCCTCGATTTGGAAGCACAGGTCCTCCAGGTGATCGGGCAAAGCCGCCATGCTCTCTCCTTCGCTCGCTTCGCTCACAAGTACGGCAAGCGCTACAAGACGGTGGAGGAGATGAAGCACCGATTCCAGATCTTCTCCGATAATCTCAAACTCATTAGATCCACCAACAAGAAGCGTCTCACCTACACTCTTGGTGTTAATCGTATGTGCTGTTCAGTTATTTTCTTTCTTTTTTCTCTGTTTGTCTCTCTTTACGTTTGATTTTGATGTAAAATCTCGACTCACGCAGATTTTGCTGATTGGACTTGGGAGGAGTTCAGAACACACAGACTCGGCGCTGCTCAAAATTGCTCTGCCACTCTTAAGGGAAACCACAAGCTTATCGATGCTGTTCTTCCCGATGAAGTATGTCAGCAACTGTAACTGTTGCTGTTTTTTAAACATTTCGAAATTATACTTTTAATTACATCGGTCCATGCAATAAATGAATCAATCAATCATGGATGGATCTGTATCATGTGAAAAAAATAAATACAAAAAATAGACCAATGATAATAAGAGAAAAAATATAGAAACAGGTAATTATAAAATTATAAAAGTTAATTTAACTTTGTATGATTGTGATTTTCTATATGACTTTTTTTGCACTAGAGAATCCATTTCCATCAATCGTACTAACTTGAATTATCAACCAAATAAAATATTCAATATGTCCTAGTTCCAAATTTTCCTTATAAATGTGTCTTTAACATAACTCAGTCATCCATTAAGTTTCCAAACAGCATCATTCTGAATGTTAGCTATTCCAAATTTTGGAAACTGGGAGCCAGTAGAAGGATACTGCGACAGGAATAAGCAATTTGTGCATAGCAGAATGTAACTAACAAAGTGCGATGTGTGTGCTTATAGCTTGTTAGCATTTCCTGCACTCTACAGAGACTGAACCTTCTGTCCCCTTTGTAAACATCCTATGTGATGAGTGAAAGGCACGACTAAAGTATTTACTACTCAACTTATTTTCATATCCTTTTCCCTAATCCTAACAGACTGGAACTGAGTCCTTGTCCTTGTTTGTTTGTGTAAAATACTTGCCTTCTGAGGAGCCTTGTATGAATTTGTTTTCCTTTTTGTTCTTGTTTGCAGAAAGACTGGAGAAAAGAAGGTATAGTCGGCCCAGTTAAAGATCAAGGCCAGTGCGGATCTTGCTGGACATTCAGGTTTTGTTTTTTTTTACACTGAGAAACTGTTTGGAATGAACAAAGCATTCTACTTTGTCATGCTTCTAACCGTAACATTTGCCATCTGCAGCACAACTGGAGCATTGGAGGCAGCCTATGCGCAGGCTTTTGGAAAAAATATCTCTCTTTCTGAGCAACAGCTAGTAGATTGTGCTGGTGCTTTCAATAACTTTGGCTGTAATGGTGGGTTGCCGTCCCAAGCCTTTGAATATATTAAATACAATGGTGGCCTTGAGACAGAGGAAGCATATCCCTACACTGAAGAAGATGGTGTCTGCAAATTTACAGCTGAAAACGTTGCTGTTCGAGTCCTTGACTCTGTCAACATCACCTTGGTAATTAAACGAATAGATAGTTTTTTACTTGATGTATGTGGATAATTGTAACATTGCTGTTGACTCTGGAGAGACATGGCGGAATCAGATCACTCATACATCAACTACACCTATGAGATTTTCTAAAAGAATTTGTTGTGTCACGGATGTAGGGTGCTGAGGATGAATTGAAACATGCAGTTGCTTTTGTTCGGCCAGTTAGTGTGGCATTTGAAGTGGTGAAAGAATTTCGATTATACAAGAAAGGAGTGTACACTAGTAACACTTGTGGCAGCACGCCCATGGTACCTGATCCTTCTCATTTCTCACTCTAGCGTTTTATGCAATTTTCAGAACAAAATGTTTAGCTACAAGTTTAATGCATCGTTTGCTTATATCAAATTTATCAAATCTCAAAACTCAGTTGCAGTTTTCAATGCATGTTTATAAGTTATAACTATAGCATCATGAATTATATTTTGCATGTCGATAATGCCAAAGAGCCTAAAACTTTCGTTTGTCGGACGTTACAAAATCTGTATTTTCCTGTCAGGATGTGAATCATGCTGTTCTTGCTGTTGGTTATGGAATTGAAGATGGTGTTCCATATTGGCTCATTAAAAATTCATGGGGAAGTAACTGGGGTGACAACGGCTACTTCAAGATGGAATTGGGGAAGAACATGTGCGGTAAGGATCCACTGGACCTATATTCTTAAAGAACAGTTATAGTGGCCTCACCCAATTGTCCCGTTTTGTCTTGATGACTGGCTAAGTGTGGGAAAGGCCTTTAGATTGTGATACCGAGGAGCAAATATAAAACTCTAAAACCCTTCGTCTCAGCGAAAATTTGACCTTGACAAAGTTGTTAATAGTAAAGTTATTCCGAATTTATAAATTTGAGATTAATCATTTTGCAATTCTGGATTTTGTTAATCCTTTGGTTTATTTTCAGGTGTTGCAACTTGCGCATCTTATCCAATTGTAGCTTAAATTTTATGAGGAGAGATGTGCTGCCCAATAAGCTACACTGGCGACCTCCACCTTGCAAGCCATGCTTCATAGTTGTCTATCTCAAAGGTGAAATTTCGTAATATGATGATAATCAGTAGTCGATGTTGATGTTTATTTGTAAAATAAGTTTGGAGTTGGGATGCCCTTTGTTATTGATGCTGTAAACCACATTAAAAAATCATACTGTAAATTGTATATCACATAGAGACATAATAATCTGTATTATAGCATGCTGTGTGCAACCTGGGAACATAAAGTTATAAACTGTCCCAATAAAACAAACTTTGCTTGATTGTATTTATGCGGATACAGTCCTTCACTGTTACTCTTCGCTTATGTCAACCCAAGCAAAGTATTTACAATCCTGGCTATATCAAAGTTCAGTATAATCTTTGGGAAAAGTGTGTATAATTTTAAAGGATGTAAAGTTGTGTCATTTTAAGAGAGAGAAAGAGATAGATAAAGGAGGAGAGAGAGTTGACAAAAAAAAATAAAGGTGTGGGTCCCACCTCTTTGTGAGAGTGAAAGGATGTAAGTTGTGTAATTTTAAATGATAGACACTTTTCCCATAATCTTTAGACGCCGAGATTTAGCATAAATATCGATGTGCTCGAAAACGAAAGAGTGACGATGCCGTAAAACGTCAAAACCTTGCCAAGCAGTATTTTGATTCCATGTTAAATCGACCGCCACTGCTTAGAATGGGCTGATTGCTAGGCGCCATGAACAAAACATGACAGGCTATCTACACGAACACGTACCTTGGGAAAGATTAAATAATACTATTCTCTTAATCCATTTGGCGGAAATTGTTGACAAGCTCATCTGCTTCTCAAACACTGTTAGATACTTTTTTAAAGCTCACGAAAATGGAAACCTCTTCAGCTTCTCGATCATTTCGAGATCTGAAAAGAAAAGAGTAACTAAACTTTTAAAACACTTTACACACACAAGTTTATACCCCTTCATATTACTAGATTTATCTTTGTGTATTCTGCTTAAAATCCATGAATGTATGATTGTGTACTTTTTCATATAAAGACTCATCATTGTCTTTGTTTCCCATGGACAAACTTAATATGTTAGCAGGAACTAAGGTACTGAATACAACTTAAGAAACCAAAATAAAGTTTTTATAATACATTTTACTGCTGTAGTAAAACATAAAGGAGTAGACGTGTAAACATCATATCAACTCCTTTATGCAGGAGTCTACAAAAAAAGATGATGACTATCGACATTAGCTGTGATTTTTTAATCTAGCGTGATTCAGAGTTGGCTTTACAAACTGACCATCACCTAAAGGAGACAATAATTATTAACGAAAGAGACAAGATTTACGATGGATGTATATTTGGCCTATTGGGAGTTCAGAGTGGCAGTGGTTCACAGCCCAATATAAAACTCTCGCATATTCACATGCACCCAGAACTAACATGCAAATATGTAGTTACTTCATTGAATGAGCCATACTATGATATCTATATATACATATATTGAACTGTATTTTACAAAGTACTCAGTACAGTCTTAAGAAAAATCAACGATTTCAAAAAATGGTCGAAACTCCTTGGTGGTCATTAATAATCCTCAGTAACATCTGACAAAGTTACTATTCTATCCGCTATGACAATGTAAGCCAAAAAAGGGTGGACAAAAATTCATCTGAAAAAAGAATTTAAACCTAGAGGTTCGCCAATTGATAAGTTGAGCTTCAAGCATGGAATCTCATTCAACATGACAAACCTTATTACCCTTAGTTATATCCAGCAAGTCTTAAGCTTGTTAACAACCAGCTAATCTCATTTTCCATATTGTGTTATGTTGAATATTGTGAAGCATGACGCCAGCCATTCCAAGTACTAAGAAAACCTAGTAGGCAAGCGTTGTTCATGAACCTGAAAGGCCATAAAAACAGGGCATCAGTGATTAACAGCAGCTTTTCTCCCATTGAGTTGGGAGTTCATGGTTGTAGTTCAAGCTACCAATGCCAGGCTTACCAATTGAAATCATTTCGCTATAGGAACAAGACTAACCAATATCAGGTGCACAGCGTTTTTTTTATAATATGGGGTAGTGAGATTCTTCTAAATGTTGACAGAAAATCTGTTTGCATTTCAAGCACACTAGATGTAACTTAAGGCCACCAAGAAACCATAGTCACTCAACATCATATGCATGAAACATGAAACATAAGTTGTTAATTTTTAACCTAGAAAAATAATTTGAATTCCATGTATAGATTCATAGTCCCATGACAGCCTGGCCCCTTTATGCTATATTCCAAGGATTTTACCATGCAGAACTCTTAACAGCTCTTAAGCCAATCGACCTATACCTAGAGCAGGGATTGTCTTATTTTGAGCACAATTTTGAATGACAAAGGGGGACAAGAGTTGAGGCTACATCCCTTGTTCAGTTGTTCTCAACTGTAAGTATAACATAGCGGACATTCTCTGAATGTAAGAAAGCTTTTGTTTGCACTCTCCTAACATGACAACAAATGAAAAAAATAAATATGAAATGAGTTTAGAAAAAAACAAACCTTTTCCCCATATCGTAAGCCCTACAAAAAAGGAGGATGATTTCATAGAGAATAGAATATTCCTGGATCTTATATTGAAGGAAAAAGAGAGAAAATTAAAGAAAATTTTGGAAAACGTTGTTTCTTAAAGCTAATTATAAGTTGCTATTTATTTTTCATTAAAGGAAAGAGGACTGGGATGGATAGTTCCAGAAATAATTGCAAGGTATAACCAAAGAAAAAACTTCACCAAGTATACAGTAATATTTCTTCAAAAGTATTTCAAATATTTCCTTCTCTGTAAATCCTCAGTAATAATCTTCCTATGTTTTTACAGCATTATATAATTTTTTTTGCAATGAAATTTCAATAAGCTAACATTCCATATTTTAGTCACTTTCATTTCTTTCAGGTACAATTCAATGTACTCTAGAGTAATGCACTTTGAAATGAACAAGAAAATCAGTTGGAACTGCATAATTAAAAAAATTCAGGATAACAGAACCAATTAGACATACAAACAAAAATTCAAATTTAGTTGAAAATCAACTCAGGAAAAAAACATAAAAAAAAGTAACAGAGGAGAGTATACTTATGCACACAAGTTCCAAAAACATGGGCAGAATCTTGGAGGGATTGTCAATTCAAATTCCCTAGTTGATAATCTCCAGAAAATAGTGACACCCTGCCTGAAGAATGTATTTGTCAACGGAAAACAGTGGAGGGCAATTTCTAGTTACTGATTTGCAGAAACACTTTAATAAACAGAAATTGACATATCTGCATTTGTACTTTCGTGAAAAGGTTTTTTCAATGAAGTGCCCTGGTTCTGGAATAGAGCTTCCTTAATGCTGGCAGCTTCACCAGGCATTCCAGTTTTCAAAAGACAGGAACTTAAAGTTCTAACAGTGATATCATCTGGGGAACAACCGGCTGCCAACATCTTGTAAAAGAGACCAATTGCTTCATGCATTCTCCCTTTCATACAATGCCCAATAATAAGAATGGTAAATGTCAACTTATCAGGTTTGCACTTCTCCTCCATTTCTACTACAATTGCATTAGCCTCATCAACGTTCCCAGATTTGCAATATCCATCAATAACAGGATTGTAAATGAAAGACTGTGGAACAATGTCACTCTGCTTCAATAGTCTCAAAAGGTCACGAGCTTCTTGTAATCTATTGCTCTTGCACAGAGCACTGATAAGAACAGAGAAAGTATACAAAGTCGCAGAAATATTTCTTGCATTCATTTCATGCCATAGGTCCAAGCCATGGTTCACCAGTCCAACTCGACAATAGCCATCAATTAGGGAAGTGAAGGTAACAACATTAGGTGGACAACCATAAAAGAGCATCTTATTGTGCACGCCTAGTGCAGAAGCTATGTCACCCACCTTAACAAAGCCATCAATGAGGGCACTAAAAGTAAATGCATTAGGCTTAGTTCCGGATCTAACCATTTCATCAAAAAGAGAAGTTCCCTCCTCCATCTTACTCAATTTGCAATAACCTGATATTATTGTTGTATAACTTACAACATTAGGGGAAAAATCACTATTCAAACAAACTTCTTTCAGTAGATCTCGCGCTCTATCAACCTCATTAATTCTACATAATCCATGTATAAGAGTGTTATACGTAACTATATCTGGGGAACAACCAAAACTTCTCATATCATTGAGAAACTTAAAAGCTTCATCAATTTTTCCGGCTCTGCACAAACCTCTCATTAAAATGTTGAAGGTGAAGGTTTCTAGATGAGAATGTGACCTCATAAGCTCTCTAAGTAGACAAATGGCATCGTCTAATTTATTATGTTTTACCAAGATGTTGAAAAAGTTATTATAAACAGCAACATCTAATCGAAGCTTATTACACTTAGCTCCAGCAAGTAATTCCTTTGAAACATCAAACCTACCAGACAATGCAAAAGAAGAAACCAAGAATCCCAACAACCTACTATCAGGCAATTCCCCATCAGACATCATACAATCATATACAAGTTTTGCTGAACTGTGGAGACCTGCTTGACAAAGGGACCTCAGAATGATATTATAAGTCCAGAATGAATGAAGCATATTCAACCTTTCTCTAGTAAACTGAAAGAACCTGAAACCCAAGTTGGGATTGTTTAGCCTTTTAATAACCTCTAATACAAGCGAAGGGGTTAAGTGCTTACTTAGATAACCCAAAAATCTATTGTCCAATGAGCTTGAGCGAAGGAAAAGAGTAGAAACAATTTTGACGAACCAAGCTTCAGGTCTTATGATTAGCCCTTTGTCATAGGGAGAAGATCTTACCTGAGTGAGAGTACGGTAATGGGCAAGGGTTATCTTGGAAGCTCGAATACTGGAAAGAGGGGTCGTGAAGAATAAGAGAGTCATCTCCTACGCCAACCCATATGGAAAGTTTGTATTTTTCTTCGTGTAGGAACAGATTTTGCTTTGGGTCTCTGAGTGTCCTTCGTGGAGGTGATGGTAATCTTACCCTTTTCACAGGCTAATGAGAATAAACTCATGAGACCTGGCCCTTGACAGTGGCATGAAGGAAAATTGATAGATAGAAGAATATTCCTCGAATTCAAAATCCCATTCACCGAAAATTGAAGAAAGATGTTAACTTTGATGTTGTCGAACTAGAGTTGAGAGCGAACGAAATCTCCATGAAAATAACTATATGCTGGGAAAGGGTTTTTATGCCTTGTGCTTAGTTGCTGCATAGAGCCTTACTTGGAGGACACGGTGGCTTAAGCATTTACTTTCTCGGTTTATTTTAGTAAAGGAAAAAATTGTTCGACATTTTTAAATGACACGAAGTTATGTCATTTTAAGAAAAAAATAGATATAAAATAATTTTTTTATTTAAAATTTGGGAAAAATATTTCTGCAGTTAATACAGATAAGTTATCTGCATATATTCTCAAAATGACGTCGTTTTGGTATTGAAATCTTAAAAAATTATAAGTATAAAGACTATTATAATCCTAAAATAAATTCAAATTACAAAAACACTGTGATTCCCACCCAAAACGACGTCGTATTGGGCTTACTGCAGATAATTTATCTGCAGTAACTGCAGAAAAAGCGAACCCTTAAAATTTATATTAAAAAAAACCATCAACTTTCTCTCTCATGATTTTTATTTTTTGTGTCTATGTCTCTCTTAAAATGACATAACTTATGTTATTTTTTTATAGTCATAACTAATGTCATTTAAAATGACAATCATCAAACCCTTTAGTAAATTAATTTAGGGAAAAATATTTGTTCTTTTAAAGGATATAATTTTGTGTAATTTTAGATTTTAACCGTTGATTTTCGTTAATCAACGATTAAGATTTATTGGATCAAACTTATTAATTAATTTGTAATTCACAATAAAACTCAATAAATTCTAACCGTTGATTAACGAAAATCAACGGTTATGATCTAAAATGACATAAAATTATATTCTTTAAAAGGACAAACACTTTTTTCATTAATTTTTTTATATTATTCACAAGTATATGATTACTCAATTAGCCCAATTCAAGTGGGGGTAAAAGTGTAGAACCACATGAGCACTAAATATTTGTCTATTAAATTTTAATACAGCTATTTCTTAGGAATTCAAATACGAATACGAAACTATTAATTAAGTTAAAATAACCCTTTAACATAATTATTTTTTGTGGTTTGAATGTTGGTTTATGTAGTTCAATGTCAACATTAGCAATATTTTTATCTCAAATTAATTAGGGTCGTTTATTTGGTTAAAATGATAAAAAATGATAAAAAATAATTAAATAACTATTTAAATATAAAAAATATATTTTAAGGATTCTTATTATTATTTACTTAATTAAACATAAAATTAATTTTATGGATATCTATATAAAAAATTAAAGTTAAATGAAATGAGAAAGAGGTAGATAAAAGCGAAAAGGAGAAACTATTTAAAATATAACCCATTACAAATCGTTGGATCACTAGCAGAGTTGTTTTTCCCAAAAATATAATAATCTAACTTAAAATAAACTTTATGCTGAATTTTGTTAAAACTTATTACATATAATAAAATAAGGTCTATTTTTATACAACAAAATAGTAGGGAGGATACGCTAGTCTAGACTCTAGATAATATTTAAATTTTTTTTGGAGTTACCCAACCCTAATTATCTCATTGAGACGAGTTGGCTCCCTCCGGTATCCCCACGAGCTTCGACTCTTTGAGCCGGCTATGGGACTAATCCGGAGTGCGGGAGAACAGTGATGGCTAAAGGTTCAGCCCCCTCCCCAAGAATACATTCAGCAGGTAATATTTAAAATTTTAAGTAATTAGTAAGTTTTAAATTGCAGTATAAGTTAGAGTAATTATTTTAATTTTATTTTGCTAATTTTTTATCTTAAATAAATGTTAATAATCAATGAGACATTAGTAGTTATATAACATTCATAGTTTATTTATAAGAATTAAATATAATTTTTTTAAAATAGATGTTTAAATAAAACAATACATGAAAGAAAGAAATTTTTTTTTTTTGGAAATACAATGAAAACTAAAGCAACATAAAAAAAAGTCCTATACTGGGCACAATCTTGAGAGACTAACTCGTCTCAAGTCATTATGAAGCAATTCCAAACAAGCCGTTGGAGGGACATCCAGCACAATCTGTCCATCCTGATGAGGTGCATGAGCAGCAAGCCAATCAGCAACAAAATTGCCTTCTCTATAAGTATGACTAAGCTAAATAATCCAGTCTCTTTGAAGCATGCCACGAGCTCGGATGATTAAAGCAGAAAGAGGATGACTTACGTCACACCATTTTCTTATAAATTCCAAAGCTACCTTGGAGTCACCACTCTCCTAAATCCCTTATGTCAAGCCAGATTCATACCTGTCAAGAACCCCCAAATTTCCGCTGAAGTAGAAGTACCACTCCCAAGGAATTTTGTAAAACCGGTTAACCAGTTCCCAACAACATCCCTTATGACTCCACCACATGTAGTCCTTTGCCCACTGTCTATGCTGGAACCATCCACATTAAGTTTAACATAACCCTCAGAGGGAAAATTCCAGTGAATAAGACGTTCTTCTCTTCTAAGCTCCAGATGACCAATCTTAATAGTTTTATTCCGATATTTTAATACAATCAGGGTGTGTTTGATTTGTTAAAATGTAAGGGAGACAATGGCACAAAAAATATTTGAGTTTGTAATTGTAATTCAAGGGAAAACATAAAATTCTTAATTTTAATAAATGAGACACAATATTCATGGTCAAATGTTTGAAAGTGGATACAATGACAACTTGCAAACTTCCCCTCTATTTCTTTCCCTTCTCTTTTTGAAGACTCAGGTATGGTGGTGGGGCTCGAAGGCTCTAGGAATTCTGCTGCCATGAATCGATGTTTATGCTACTCAATCAAATTGGGGTTATGAAAGTCATCCTCATGAGTTAGATATTGACATGTTTATTCATTTAGGAGATTAATATTTTGATAATTTTATTTCATACACACACATAAAAATATGAATGGCTCATGAGAGGTCATGTAAAAAGAAAAGAGAAAAAAAAAAAAACATAGACCCTACATACTTTTATGTATATGTAAGAGATAAAATTATCTCCTACAATATGAGAATCGTTAATTTCTAAAATTAGTATACATCTATAGTTGCTCTTCATTTCGTTTGCTCGCCATCCCATTATTTGAATATTTACAAATAATTTTAGATTTATGGAATACAATATAGTACTGCATAATAATAGATCATTGTGCATAATATTAAAGGCGAACGATGTGTGCACACTAATAGCTAAAAAAGTAAAAAATAGAAAATGTGTACTTAACCCTTTATTTATAAAATGAGAGTTCTAGTGAGAGTTAAGCTATTGAAATATAGGATAAGGGATTCCTTATCTCTTAGGCTTATGACTTATCCTAGGTCGTTATTTCTAGAAGCTATGAGCTCTGGCTATGACAAATTTATTAAACCTTGTTTCCATGGTTGAAAATTATATTAAACCCGGTGTCTATATTGTACACAATAGTTTTGTATAGAGTTTTATTTGTTTTGTTAAAAAAATTCATAACGATAATAATTTGATCTTTTTTATTTAATTATTTCACTTACCCCTTATTAACATCCTTCGATTATTAATCGAGAAACATTGTTTATGCATTTTGAACTATAATTATATATGTATATTATACACAAGACTTAAAATATGTGTCTTGTTGAAATTAACTTTATTATAGAATATCCAAGTGCAAACAATTAAATAAACATAGCGTATTAAGTAATCTTACAAAATGCAAATACTGCAATCAAAATATAATTATAGTCTAGTATAAAACTTCACAATAAAAGTAAAAATATAGACTTTATTTGCTAATACTGCTTCCTTGAACACACATAGTATCTACTTTAGGCTCTTTCCTTTATATTTGAAAACACACACTTAATGAGTTTTTTTTATTCCCGTGAAGATAGTAATTTCAAAAGACTTATTGGAGAAGAGTAGTGTTTCCAGCCATATCTTGGCATGGAAAAACCATCCATGGTTTTAAATAAATAATATTAACATTATAATATTTTGAAAAAAGTCTAACATCACAAAATTATATATAACATTATCAGCTGAGATATTTTTATAAGCATGGATATTTCTACATATCAGAGCTACTTTGAGGGCGTCACCATGCCTCATCTTCTCTCAGAAATCTATTCCTTGACTCAAGAAACCCAATTTCTTGATTATGCACATTTTTTTTATACATGATCATGCACATATTTAAATTACCTTCTATGAGGAATCTCATAAACTCTTTCGAGAGAGAAACATGTAGATACCTCCATAAAGCATCCTATAAAAAAAATTGTAAGTCATAACATACTAATGCTGAATTTTGATATCACAATAAAGTAAGAATAATCACATCACTATACTAAATCTTAAAAAATATAAGTTATAAGAATTTTTAGCATGCAAAATTTACCATGATAATTTATAAAATTAAAGACATAACCTATCAATATAATGAATATGCAAAAATGAAAATAAACAATTAAATAATACATGTACGATATTTATTACATACATGACACTATTGACTTATATGTTACTATGCACTTAAATGATAATTATATATTGCAAAATTCTAATTTACTTAAATATAAATTAAAATATATATACTTATAATATGTAATAACATAAATTGAAGAAGAAGAAATTACTGAAATATAAATTGTTGAATTTTAAATCAGAAATTATAAAGTGCAAAATACAAATTGTAGAAATGTAAATTGCTGAAATAAAAAATAAAAAATAAAAAATAAATTGAAACACAGAATCCCATTGGGACCGGTTAGGGGACAAAGACGAAGAGTAAAATAATTACAAAATAATACTTTGATAGAGTTTAAATTTTAGAATAAATAGAGAAGTTATTCTTTATCTTCCTTATTATAAAACCTTCTTATTCTAAAATTCATTTATTTTTCTCTCCTTTTTTAGTAAAGTTTTCTCTAAATTTCCCAAGACATTCAGTTCTTAATTTCTCTCAATTTTGAAGCGATGACTATTGATTAATCTATCCTGTATTTATAAGAAAAATGTTACCATGTCAATGGTAAAATTAATATGGTAATAATATTTTAATAAAATATTATTTATCTAATAATCATTAAAGAAAACATTCCTATGTGGAATGTCTTGAAATTTTGTTTATGATAATTTTTGATTGATTTATATATTTTTAGAGTGTAATTTAAGATAATTTATGATTGATTTATATATTTTTCGAGTGTTGTTTGTAATAATTTATTATTAATTTATATATTTTTAGAATGTTGTTTTAATAATTTGTGTTGAAATTGTATATTTTGGAGTGTTGTTTATAATAGATCTATGATTGAATAATATATTTTGGACTGTTGTTTATAATAATTTTGTGATTAAATTATATATTTCGAAGTGTTCTATATAATAATTTTGTGATGGATTTATAATTATTATTATTGTCATTGTTTTTTTTTTATTCAGGGTTTTACACCTAACAAGATTTATCATAGGATTTGAAATATATTTTCAATGCTCCCGTAGTGTTGACTCAGTACATTTTTAATTAAATTTTGAAAAAATTATATAAATGAAATTTCTCTTTTTTTTTTTGGTAAACATAAATTTTTTCATTTTATTTACCCTTTTATTATATTTGTCACCTAAATCTCACTTTTTTCGTTTTTAATAAAGAAATATATATATGCTCTTTAATTAAGGATGTAAATGGGTTAGATGATCTATCAGGAGCTTATGACCCAATCTGCCTACACCAAGGCTGTCCTAATATGTTTAGTAAAATAAAATATGGTTTTTTTGACCTTCTTACCCTTCATTAATTAATTAACAACCATTTTTTCCTACATTCAGAACTATCTACCAATCTGTCTCTCTTTAACTGATTAACTTGAAGATTTAATCGATTAAATGGTCAAAATTGAAAAAAATGGTTGACTTGAAGATTTAATCGATTAAATCTTCAACTTAATCGATTAAATATTCAACAACCATCAAAGAAAAGCAATCTACTGTTCAACGAAAATGGCGTTAGATGAAAGTGGTGTTTGGGGTGAGAAACACTGACCATTTGCTCATAATCAGTATTCTAATATTTTATTGTAACTTGTCGATGTCTGAATTTTTGGAGAATCAATAAAGTTTATGGCACTGTCAGTGTCTATATAAAAAGTTTCTATATAACAGTGCCATAAACTTTATTGATTCTCCAAAAATTCAGACATCGACAAGTTACAATAAATATTGAAATACTGATTCTGAGCAAATGGTCAGTGTCAGTGTTTCTCACCCCAAACGCCACTTTCATCTAACGCCATTTTCGTTGAACAATAAATTGCTTTTCTCTGATGGTTGTTGGAGATTTAATCGATTAAATCTTCAAGTCAACCATTTTTTTCAGTTTTGAGCATTTAATCGATTAAATCATCAAGTTAATCGATTAAAGAGGGGCAGATTGATAGATAGTTTTGAATGAGGGACAAAATTGTTATTAATTAATTAATGAAGGGTAAAAGGGCCAAAAAGCCAATAAAATATGCTTGAACTTTTAAAAAAAGTTTGTTTGAAAAATAAGCCTTAAGCCTACTTTTGCAAAGCTTGAGTTACAAACCTACAGATTAATCTATATTATATTTTTTATTTTAATTAAAATAAAATAAAATAATTATTTTTATAATTTATTGATAAAAAGATATTATATATATAGGGGTTTGCATTCATCATTTAAAATGACATAAATTTTTTTCTACACACACAACATTTTCTGGGACCCACACTTTTTGAAGCAAAAAAAAAAATTACGACATGCAAAACGAATCTCTATAACATTACACAATCGTTTTTCCTACAACATAACTCTTATAAAATCCATATATATATATATATATATATATATATATATAAGTTTTAATAATTAATAAAGACTTAATGTGTTTAAATAAGCCAATAAGTATAAACTAGATTCAAATCTAAAATATAGCCCAAACCTTAAAATATTTTGTATAAACCTAGACGACACAGAGTCTGTTTGTTTGGGCTTCTCGAAAAAGTAATTTTTATTTCTTCTTTATTTTAGAAGTATTTTTTTATAAAAATTAAAGTTATTTATATTTGGGATAAGATATTGTGACAACCAAATAATGTTACTACCACATCTTAACCGTTGAATCAACGGTTAAGATGTGGTAGTAACATTAGTAATAACATTATTTGGTTGTCACAATATCCTATCTCTTTATATTTTTATAAAAATATTTAGTTTTTGAAAAAAATATTTGATTTTTGATTTTTGTTTTTTTTAGAAGTTAAAATTTTTAGTTTTTGAGAAAAGTAAGTTTTTAACTTTTTTGTGACTTCTATTTTTTTAAAAGTAGACATCCAAATGACTGAAAACAAAAAGTGTTTTTTTTTTAAAAAAAAAAATACAACTTTTGAAAAATAAAATTCATTCAAACGGGCCTCGATTCATTTACCCCATTAATGCCAAAAGTATGCTCTAGGATTTGGGCTGTTCTAACCTCCAGTTGGTTTGTTTTCTGATGGGGATATGGCAGAGGTTGAGTAAAAGCCCGAACAAGTAATGAAAATGTGGACCCCGCCAATGAGGGGTCTTGCCGCCATGCGAAGATGACAGTAGCCGTGAAATTGATATTTGAGAGTTGAAGTTGAGACCAAGAAAGAAGAGAGAGAAAGAAACGTGTTGCGTTATCTTATCTGGATTAAATGTACGAGACACGTGGTGCTATCTCAGTGTTTTTAGTCTGCAGATAAGCCACGCCGGCCCACTCCAGTCCACTGCCAGCAACGTGCGACCCTCCTCGTTGCTGATGTTTTCACATTATAAAATCAATATTAACCATAATATATTGAGTCCATGCCACGAAGTCACACTATTCCTGATTTATTATATTGTCATTGTACGATTAACTTTTTAGTTTTATCATAAGAATTTCCCAACTTTATACTGACCCAAAAAATCGAATAAATTTTGTAATTCAAGCATATGATTAAGATTCTCAATAAATATTATAAATGATTTTAAAACTAAAGTAAAGATATAACTTTAAAGTCAATAACTAAATTGTCAGGAACTCTGTTGTGTGAATATTAGTTGTACCCTTGCACTATCCTGACTTGTTAAAAGAAATACAGGTTCAATTTTTTTTATGCACACAGCCATAATATTTTTTTTCAAAATGTAAAAATTGAATGAGTTTAATAGTAGTATTCTTAATTTCTCAATATATAAATAAGACGAAATATGCTGATTTTATGGGGAAATCAATTATAGCCAGTGAGTATTCCAGAAGATTAAAAGGAGAATATATTCTGTAGTTTAAGAAAACATTAAAAAAAAAAAAAGCAAAGCACCGAATGAAAAGGAATAAACAAGAAATGGGGGGGTCGAGTGGTGTGGGATCCACTTGATCCATTTCGAAGATCATATCTAAACCCCAATCAACGGTCCACCGTCAACCAATTCTTGGTACTCATTCGAAACATCCAATTTCAAAAGCAACAAAAAAAAATGTTTGTTTATTTTTCTTCTCCAAACAGATAATATTATTATTTAATTCTTTGAGGATAAGGTGTCACCTTCCTTCTTTATTCTTTATTTATTTTCTACGACAATTCTTATAAGTTTATTTGAACACCTTTTGATTAAAATATATATATTTATTCAGTCACTGTTTTCTTTTCCGTGTGATCGGCTATGGCGAGAAAATTCTGATACCCATGTGCTCCTTACCAGATATTTATAGCCACAACTCGTTCCATATTTCATTGCTGTTGCTCATTTCATTTCAGACTATACTATTCTTCTCAGTTTTCTCACACACACTCTGCTCAAACGATGTCGTTGGCTCTGCAAAGCAATGGAGGAGGAGTTACCATCGGAAGGTCCAGCTTCGTCAACTGTGTTTCGATCTGCGATCGGGATTTTCCGGCGGAAGATTCCGATTCTAGCGGCTCTTCCATCGGAAGGAAGAGTACCTCGTCGGAAGATTCCTCCGACCGGGAAGACTCCGGCGAAGTCGAGGTGCAGAGCTCGTTCAAAGGCCCTTTGGAAACCTTAAATGATTTGGAGGAAGATTTACCCGTTAAGTAAGTTTATTGTTTGCGTCTCTACCTTTATATTACTGCGCTTTCTTCAAGCTTCAAACTTTCCGTGTAGCTAATATTGTATCGTTGATTTGGGGTCCTGGGGTTCTATTACTCATTTTTTATTTGGTTTTGTTGATTTTAGCTTATGGTTGTAAGAACTAAGAACTAGGAACTGAGAAGCACAAAGTAGGATAATTTTCTTTTAGTTTTACCGGATTTAATTATTTACTGTTTTGCCCCTGAGCAGCTCAACCTGTTACCAGTTATGGCAAAGGATGATTCGGTTCGGTTTTTGTTTAATCAAGTAAATTGTTGCGTTCATGTTAGCGTTAGTGTAACCATTACTGAAGGGAGCATCTAGGTGTTTATCATGAGAAAAAATAAATACCATACAGTTGGATACCACTTTCATTATTTTAGTGATCTGCTTTTTTGGTTGTGGGTAAGTGGTTTACAGAATATATCTTGTTCCTGATATTTACTTAAAAGGAGTACTTTAATTGATAGGAAAAATGGATCTCCACCATCAAAAGAAATACCTGGTGAGTTGAGATAGAGCATCTTGCAGTAATGTTTGGTCATTAGGGAAAAAGAAAGCTACATTCCTTGTATAAATTATAGGCCTTCCTGAATCCTGATCTCCAAAACAGCTGCAGGGTTAGCTTGTTCCTTTAAAAAGACTAAAATTAAACATATAATGATGCATTTGCAGAATAGATCTTGAAATTTACAACATAATGAAATAGCTTCTAATTAGGGATAGGAAATGGATGAACTACATGTATTTTGAATTGGATCAAAATAGATCGATAAAAAAATAACCATTAATTCATTTAGGATTCTTTAAAATATTATTAAATCATCTAACCTATCCGTGACCCATTTTAATGGATAGGATGGATGGATATCCAACTTATTATACATATATATTTTTAATAAATAACTAACTTTCTTCTATAAGTTAGCTAAGGTTTCTACATAGATGCGATTAAGCTTTCCTTTAAACTAAAGATGAGAATGGAACAAGAGTAGAAAAGAAAATTGAAGTGACAAAGTTTGTAACTTTATATTGCACAGCGTATATCGATCTAGAGGGAGAGTGGTTGTATCTTACTAACTGTAAGAATGGTGAAAGGAGTATTTGAGAGTTGACACATTGATGTAGGTGTCAGATGGCTTTGAATTTGGTTAAATCAATGCAAAACAGAATGAAATTAATTGTATATATAAAAGGTTAAATGAAGAGATTTTTCTCCCCTTCTTAGAAAGCTTTATTTGGAAAATAAGTCTTCATATTCCTGTGCTATGAAGAATAACATGCTCCTGTTGTGGCCGCAACTACACTGGAACTTTAGCCATTGTCTTCTGTTCAAATAGGGAAAATTTTGATTCAAGTAAATGAAACTACAAGATGAACAAGATATTGAGCACTAGACATCGTATTTTTATTTAGAAAAAGTTATAATGGCTGGATGATGTGAAAATTTCGATTTAGATATAATATTATTCAATTATGTCATTTCGTTTTGTGTAATTCAGGAGAGGCATATCCAAGTTTTATAGTGGCAAATCGAAGTCCTTCACATGCTTAGCAGATGCCGCTGCTGCAACTTCTATGCAAGACATAGTAAAGCCAGAGGATCCTTATGCCAAGAAACGCAAGAATTTACTAGCCCGTAACATATTAATTGACAGAAGTCGCAGTTACTCAGATAACATTGGTGGAATATCAAAGCGACCCGCTAACATAGGTCGAGGAACATCTTGTCTTACATTGAGCAGCAGTGGCTGTGAGGAGGGGCAAAACTCCGAATCAATATCTCCTCCCTGCCCTCTTCCTCCTCTTCATCCACGTGCTAATAGGTCATCTGCAAATGCATCACCACCTCGTCCTCCTACACTAAATTCTCCTTGGCGTTCATACTCCTGGTCTGATCTGCAGTCTGTAGCTGCAGAGGCTCATGACATATCTGGCTTGGCAATTTGTAGTGGCAACAAAGTACATTGAATTTTTGACAGAAATTTAACTTTTTTGTTTAGTTTATAGCGAGTGAGTTTTTAGTTCACATTCGAGTTTGTTTTGTAATGGCAGAGTACTTGTGATTTGTGAACTCGTTTTATATTTATATATATGCTGAAGTATTGTATATTACATACCAACTTTACCTGGATCTTGATCCTCTCGTATAAAAAAAAAAAATATATGATATGAGATCATACAAAAGTGGATAATGATAATAAAGAAAGAGAGAAAAATATATATTAAAATAGGTAGTTAACAAATTATAACTGTTGTTTTTGTATGGTTATGATTTTTTTATATAATCATATTATATTTTTTTCATATTAAAGGATTCATTTCCTATTTATCTAGTTGAGGAAACCTACCACCATATACGAAAGAAATAGAAAATATTGAAATCCATTGTCTTTGAATTAACTTCAGTGATTTTCTCAATTTTTCGTTAGTATACGTGGTTGGATTTGTTTTTTTCATTGTAATTTTGTCTTCCATGAATGTTTCCAACTGTTAGATTTCTTAAGTTTTTGAAGTAATTGTTGTAATTATGGATTATTAATTGTTTTCATGACAATAGAGGTTCAGTTTTGGCAATTTTAAGTTTGCAGCTCCCGCCACTATCACACTTTATCGTGCACCCACTCTCTTTAGGTAAAATCAGACTCTTACTAAGTTTGACCGTTCACTTTGACTCGAATCACGGTGCTAGAAGCCTAGAATGGGAGAGGACTTACATATCAAATCATGAATATAAAGACAAAAAATCCTGAATTTAAATCCAAAGTGTAGTTAACTAAAGAACTATACCTATTTAATACCATAAAAAATAAGAACTATAACATTTTAGTTTAAAGGGCTATAAATGGGCCGGTCACATTTTCGCTTTAATTGTTTAAGTCTATCTAAAATATTTAGAGCCTATATGGCCTATTAACCTACTAAAAGTTTGATTTATATGTCTGATTTAATCTATTATAAAAAATTAAAACGTGTAACAGAGCTTGTAAGACCTACCAAATTGCAAACTAAAGTTTATATCAATATTATTAAACCCGACTCAGGCATAAATCCGGTATGGGTACTTGGTCACTGGTTGGACCGGTGGATCATTGGTCGAATCGGTTATCAAAAAATATATATATATATATATATATATATATATATATATATATATATATATATATGAAAAAATATTTCTACATCCACTTTAGATAAAGTTATCTACAATTACTCAAAAACTACGTCGTTTTGAATAATAAAGGGTGTTTATGTAATTTTAGGTGAATTAATAAATGGTATTTTGATAAAATGCATATAATAAAAAAATAAACAAAATTATGAAAACACCATTCATTAATTCACTTAAAATTACAGAAACACCATTCATTAATCAAAACGACGTAATTTTTAGGGTAACTGTAGATAACTTTATCTAAAGCGGCTGCAGAAATATTTACCCCACACACACACACATATATATATATATACATATATATGGGGCTTACATTTCTGCAGCTGCTGTACGTGCAACAATCAAATACTTGCCACATATATATTTGAAAGCATTAAATGCGTGGAATCATAACCATACAAATGATGAAAGCATTAAATGTGGGGAATCATAACCATACACCTGTCGTTGAGCGGCTGCAGAAATATTTGTACCTATATATATATATAAATTTAATTACATTCTCCATATTTAAAATGAGTTAAACAAAATTTATTAAATAAGCTCAAAAATTACCCAATCATACTTTTACAAGTTCATAAAATACAAATAAGTGAAAATGCACGTTATTACTATGTCAATTTAAATTGCAACTCAGAATCTCCATAAGCATACCTTTCAATAACGTTTAAAAGACCAGATGTTGTGAACTCATATTTTTCAAATTCATCTACATTGAAATGACATATTTCACATTCTCTTAATTCATTGTTTCACAAATTTTTTCAGTATTGGAAGCTGAAATTTGAGATCATTATAGAAGAGTATATTACTGGCAAATAAAATTACAAAAAATTTTAAAATGAGTTCTGCATTTTTTCTGACAAGATAAAACAATTTTTGATTTTTTTTTTGTTTTTATATAAAAATGCATGACCCGACCGGGTCCGATGCATGGCCGATCCGATATTTGACTTGAACTGGTTCGCCGGGTTTATTAATTCTCAATAAATTATAACCGTTAAATGCACACAAATCAACGGTTAAGATTTAGTGTAAGACTTATTATTAAAATGACTTATTATTCTTAATACTTATTATTCTTACCTCGGTGTAAAAGTTGATGATATTCTTATATACCGATGTACTTCTAATCAAATGGCTTAGAATACATATATTATACACGTCACTCTCTCTATTTTTCACTTTTACAGCCTAACAAATTTTAAGAACTTTATTGTAAAAGGCCTTATAATAGCCAGATTATTTAGTAAGTATAAATTTTCAAAACAAAAATATTAAAATATGCTGTAAAATATTTTTTTTTCTTTTATGAATATAAGGCCAAAACCAGTTGATTTTGCAGATATGACTGCATTGTTCATGCTATGAGTAGTCAGACACTTTTGGACTTGCTGGACCCCTAGTGCTGGATAGTGTGAAATAAGCATTAATGCCTTTGAAGTTTGAACTATGATTACCGAGGATAATAATAAAAAACTCCTTATCCACTGCATTAAGTAACTAGTCTTGTGAATGTGCTTCATAAGATGACTTTGAAACCATCGAAGACGGTTAGTAACTCATTTTGAGCTTGCACATATCTGGATGCTGACATTTAACATTTTAAATTTAATGTTAAGATATTGCTGCCACTCTGTAGACTCTTGACACTATCTGTGCTATTTGCACTTAGTCAAAACCAGTTTCACCCAGAACTATCAGTTTCTGACTCTCATGTTTCTTTGTTCTGCTATACCTCACATTCTTCTCATTATTCGTAGTAGAGGATCTGAGTTGGCCCATCCTCATAGGGTCTTTCTTGAAACTGATAACTGAAAATTGTAATGAGTTTAAGTGTCATAACCCATTCACAAAACCAAACATGTCTCTCACATATGACATGCCTCATGTCCAATGGTCGCACCTTTTCATTTCTTCACACAGTAATTGCAAGGGGCCTACTCTCTATGTATTTATATGGGGTTGGCCGAATCGGTGCTATGAACTAAAACTATTGGGGGCCGGATCATGCTCTTTGGTTTCATGGATTCAACTTCTTCTTTCATCGTCTCCCAAGAAGAGTTCATTCTGTTCCACAGAATTGACAGAGAACTCTATAAGATCCTTGTGATCAAACTCTACCGAGAGCCAGTAGAAACCATGCAACTCCTTGCCATGTGGCTCTGGTTGGAGAGGGCTGGATTTCGTAACGTGGTAAAGAAGATTATGTCTTTGCCAAACATTTTGATCAATGAAGTTGCAGACGAAACGGTTACATGCCTCAATTGCATAAACAATGGCCTAACATCTTCTTTCTCTTCGGAAGGAAGCGACATACCCCTTCTGCATAGCCTTATGGAGAAGGAAATCTCTCTCCAATTTTTGTATGAAAAGCGAGTTGATGCAATTCAAGGGGTGGCTAAAATGATGCAGGACGTGTGTGTCAGGGCACTCACTGACATCATGCAACAAGCTATGGTCAGAAACTCAACTGAGAAAATGATGGAAGCACAAAAGGTGGTGACGCAAAGTTCAGAGAAACATCTTTGGTTTGGTTCAATTGGGCCATCATCTAACATGATGCATGGCAACAAGGCTGAGTTAGCGGTGCAGGATCTGATAGCAGATAGTGAAGTACCAGCGGATGATAGAACACTGTTTGTGACATTCTCTAAGGGCTATCGCGTGGAAGAATGGGAAGTGAGAGAGTTTTTTACAGTGGGATATGGGGATTGTGTAGAGGCTTTGTACATGCAGGAAGTGCAGCCAAATGAACAAGCCCTGTTTGCTCGCATTGTTTTTCACAAAATGTCTATCATTGACATGATACTGAGAGGGGCAACCAAAGCTAAATTTACTATCAATGGAAAGCATGTATGGGCTCGAAAGTTTGTGCCAAAACGAACTGTTACAAAGAGTTTCCTTCCAACATTTCCCATCATGCCTGGGGAATCATCCGGGTCTGGCTTATAGACAAGTTTATGTTGTGGTTATTTTCGTCATTTACATTTTCCGATATCTGTTTTTTGTTTTTTGTCTTTGTAGAATGTTGTTTGGGAAGTGTTGGTTAGTTTCTGTATTGTTACTATCAAATTTATCAAAAGCTTTTGGTTGAACTTCTTGAAATCTATCTTATCTCGGTTGATTTTCGATGGTGAGCAAGGCATATTCTTTTCTCTTTTTTTTTTAAGAAATTTCGATGGTGAGCATCAACTCTATCAGCAGCAGTAACTTTATCCACCAATAAATATTGTTGTTACCTTTGTATATATAAAAATAAATAAAATATTGTTGTTACTTGGGTTTTGTGAGAATTGACAAGAAAACAAACACTTTGTGCTATTGGCGAAGAAAAATCGAATGTCTTTATGCTAAAAGATGTATCCTAATTGCAACTCTCACATACCGTTTCATGCTACATAAATGAAAATGTTGAATAGTGAATATGTATTTATTAAATGATATACGGAATTTATTTTCCTTCAATCATAATTAATTCTAAGGTATTTTTAAAAACTAGATCCGAATAACATTGTTATACTGTAGGATAATTTATCAATTTTATTTTATTATTACTATAAATTGGAAAGTTCAATGTATAAATCACCAGAGGCTTGCTACGTTCATTGTCGTGCCTGATCTTGGTCAGCGGTTCGTATATCCATGACCTATGGAAAACACAATCATACAAGGAAATTCAAGTAACAATCAACTTAATAATATACATTATTGATTAGGCTGTGGTTATCGATATTTTTTTTATCTATCTCTTTGTTCACTCTCTCTTCTTCTTTATCTATCTTTTTCTCTCATTTATAATGACGTATTGTGTTTCTTATTCAGTGCATCATCTTATAATATTTTTTCTTAGTATTTCATTTGAAAACTCATTCATACAGTATAGCAGCACTCAAATATTTTAATTAGATCACAAGTAAGCAAATATTATATATAAATAAGAAAAAACATTTTTTCATATTCCCTTTCTTATACAAATAAAATGTTGAGTTCCTTTAACTTTTTTTTCTTTAACAAATAGTAGGCGTGCATGTTATGTCTATATGGAGACAATATTTAACACTTCCGGCCTTTGTGATCCGCCTAAAGAGAATAGGGGAAGAGAGAGGGAGAAGAAAAAGTGGAGGGAGACCAAGCAATAAATTTCCCTCTATATGATATACATGTTGTCTCTTTTAATGAGATTAATAAACCTCTATAGATAATTACTCCAATTATATTAATTAATTTTAAAGTACAAAAGTAAATGCATGCTAAAAGAATGTAATAAAAAATATTTATGTGCTTATAAAAAAAAACATTTATGTTGTCCTGTATATATATAAGTAGGGCTCTGGTTTTCTCTTTTCACATGAAAAGAATTTTTTTTCTATACACACATATTTAAGGTGGTCGCACAATTAAAAATAAAAAAAAACATGCAGATCAATATATGGGTGACTTGAGAAATATTTTTTTTAATAACATGAGAAAATATTTTCTCATATAATTAAGGATATATTTAGTTTAGATTTTGATAAAGTTAATTTTGAAGAAATTGATGTCACAAAAATTAATTTATATTTAGAATAATATTTTAAAATACAGTTTAGAAAATAGAATTTTATTTAAATTATAAAATAGAATCACTTTTAAAGTGTAAATATAGGTATATTTTAAAAAGAAAACTATGATTACCCAAAAAAAAAAAAACTATGAGTTTCACACCATAAATCAGTTTTACATATTAACATATTTGAAATTTTTTACTAATCTCAAAACCAATTTTACTTTCCGTAAAATTAATTTTGAGAACCCAAAATAAAATACCAACAATGGACTGTACAGATAGTTTATTTTACTCGAATACGTAATTTCCTCCTACTCATTTCTCTTAAATTCTCATCTAACGGTTGTTGAAAAATGATACACAGAAATAAACAAAAATAAAAAATAGATAGAATAATTTATACTTTATCATTATTCTTATTAGGTTAATAGTTTTTTTAGTCAATGGATAAGTCATTTCGATAAGTTTAAAATGATATGATTTTGGGATGAAAATTAAAACATTTTTATAATTTTAATATACTGTGGAATTATATTAATTTTTATTATTATTATTTTTTAATCTTATAATCTCAAAACGACATGTTTTTAGATATATTTTTTTTATTTTTTTTAATTTTTTTAATTTTTGTAGACGAAGCAGCGCAAGGCGGTAAGGGTATGTAGGAGCAATTAGGGTCAAACTCCTAAAATCGAATCAATATAGCATTGGTATAGATTCTCTGTGCAAGCCCATTACATTATCTGTTAATTTTCGCAAGTTTTGGGGTAAAAGAAAGATCTCCATTTCCGATAATCAAAGCTACAATGTTATATACTATACTTGCTGTTAAAAACGAGACTTGTAGGGAAATATTACATTGAGGTGATTTTTGCAGGTCCAATGGAGTCGGGGACGAACGGGGAGGAACCCACTTCGTGGGATGAGTTATACAATATCAATTTGATGCCTTCCGAGTTCTTTCTCAAGTTCCGAAAACAAGTTCAGGGTATTCGAGTTGGTCTCAATATGGAGGTTTTTTTCTTCTCCCAACTTAGGTTTTGTCATTCATGATAGTAAATACGAGGATGTGGTATTTTTTTGGTTTAATTTATATTTTACTTTCAGTTCTTTTTTCTGTCATATACTTACACATGTTTGTCGCTTGTGAGTTAAGGTTTGCATGCATATATAATATGTTTCTAATAGATAAGCAATTAGAGAGATATCATGCTTTGAAATTGTTTTCATGATCATAAGACATTAATTTTAAACATTTATTCTTATCAGAATACTCCAGTTCTTTTATTTTGTGTGATTTCATATCTTCTGCTTTTTTGGAGTACCGGTTAGAGTATCAAGATATCAGGTGGGAGATCCAAATTTGGTACTCGTGTCTGTTCCCTCAAAATTAATAATGTTCGAAGAGTTAACTTGTTAAATTGGACTTGGATATTCCTGCTTTTTGACAGCCGCGGAACTATAAGAATACCCACACTTTAATTCCTGCACTCTGACCGCTTAAGCCTTGAAAATTTGTAATGTGGTGGTATGAGACTCAGGTTACTGTTTGTTGCTTGAATCTACCAAACTAATATTTAAATAATACTTTAGCATGCATGGAATTGGAACTAGATTATTCTTTGTTCCTTAACTCCACATCTACAACCATATTATGGTTGGCTATTGTTTTTTTATCTTGTCTATATGGTTAAACTCATCTGTTCCTTGCATGCAAGAAGTGTCAAGGAGAACTCTAAAATTTGTAGGAGTGCTGATCTGTGAAATTTAACTATCTATATAATTGGGTCTCTTCAATTAATAGGTTAATATTGTGGAGATTTTGTTTACTAGTCAATTATTATTTATTTACATATGATGACTACTTATTAAGGAGATCATTTTTTTGGTGCAGTTCTATAATGCTCCAATCAATGAATATCAAGCAAAGCTTGTATTGAAGCCTTTAGCACTTGAATGGAAATGGAAGTTAATTTATGAGCCCATTCATCATGATGTTCGCATCCTCTCAAAAAAGATCCCCATTACCAAGTTTCTGAATCTTCAGGTTTGAAGCTGTTTAATTTCCTTTTTTTAATGACATGACATGATTATTATGTTTATTTTGATCGTTGCAGAAAATGTTTAAAAATAGTAATAAATGTGGCATTTTCTATGTGCTTTTATGTATAGAATCCCACTGTGTTGTTGTTGATGCCATGATGAGTTGATCTCCCACTTTCTGGAAAATTTCATTTGAAGTGATTCTCACTGACGTAAACAGTGCAGGTTGGCGTAGGACACAATTTTCATGTGCATGCTACTGGTTGGAAATGGAAGCTCACCACATGTTTGGGCGGAGATGGTGTATCCCGGATCCGTAATAAGACTTCAGTTGGCTTGTTTCCTGGCTTTGATTTACGGTTTGGATGGAGGGCAGACTATGTTCTGCCCGAAATTACTGGGTAAGTTCCGTAATCATGTCCTCTGGTGAAGAAATACTCGGAATAATAACTTTGAAACTAAATTATATTTATCTGGTGATTAGAAAATATGATCAAAGATCAATGATTTTTGGATGAGCTATTCTATTACAATTTGGATTTCATATTCTCCTTTATTTACATGCTATTTTTGTTTTTTGTCATGCTATTATTTCGTGAATATGACTGATTAGTTTAAACTGTAAACCTTCACAGGGCTCTGGGTACTGATGAACCAATGTTCAACATGCAATCAGGACGACTACAAGCATCACTTGATAGAGTTGAGGCCATCTTAACCCACAGTGATGAGGCTTGATTTGGGCAAAGAAGATAATAGAAGAGAGTGTAAACGAGGTATAATCCTCTTTCGCTTTTGGGAGAAGTTATTGATGATGATATCTGCAAACAGGACATAGATACTGTAAGATGAAAATATCATTCCTTATTTCAGACTGATTGCTCTTTCTTTTCTTTTTTTTTGGTAAGCTGATGGGGAATACCCACAGCACAAAATAGAATTACACAATAGAAATACGACGAGGTCTACAAACAGAAGCTAAATCAGCAGTAAACAGAAACACAATACCAAGTAAACAGAACTCAATACCAGGGGGAGGGGAATTGAAAATACACATGTCAGGAACATCAGCATTAACTAGGGGATAGTTGGCCAGCCAGTCAGCAACATTGTTGCCTTCTCTATAGGTATGCCTCAAATGAATTGTCCAATCCTTTGCAATCTATCCCATATCCGAGAAATCAAATAAGTCTCGCGGGCTGCATTACCGGATTTGGTGAGCATAGTGATAGCGGATGTTGAATCACTTTTTAGAATTATTTTCCTCCCACCAAATTCCCAAGCTAACTCTAGTCCCTTAAGTATACCCCAAAGTTCAGCATTTAGAGCATTACAAACTCCAATTCTATAAGAATATCCATTTAACCATTGGCCAACAGCATTTCGAAAAACTCCTCCACAAGCCGCCATTCCAGGATTTCCTTTTGCAGCCCTGTCCGAGTTAAGTTTCAACCAATCACCTTCCGGAGGGATCCAACAAACCAGAATGTTAGAATTGACGCGCATTAGATGGTGTTTCTTAGCAAGATTAAAAGCTTCTTGAAATTCACGAGCTTTAGATGTTTATGATCAGAAATATCTAGAATGATGATTTATGTGCACTGGAGTTTGTTGATAAGTATGTTTTTCTAGTAATTATGCATTATTTTATTCTGTGGACACCGAATCTAAAACTGTAATTGAGAATAAGAGAAATGCATATTACTATTAAGAATCAAATCTTTTTTTTTTTTTTTTTTAAGTTTTTGCAGATTATGCCTTTGCTGTACTCTTTTTTCAGAACACTTCTTTTAAAATATAAAATTGCACTGGTGGGTTTTGGTGACAGCAAATCAGATAGCTTCATGATAAGCTTTCTGTAGGGGGGTGTTTGGTAGGAGGTTTTTTTTTTTGGATACCTAGGGAAATGAGAATGAATTTTCAGGAATACCATGTTTGGTATCATTTTTAAAAAAAATTTATCTAGAAAAGTTAGATGTCCAGTAATCGTGTGTAATTTGTGGAAAAAATTTACAGTTAACAATACCACCCGATTGACCAATTGATGGGGAAATAGAAAAAGGGGTAGAAAAAAAAGTGACAAAAGTAACCGTGTAATCCCTATCCGGTTTAAAAAGAAACCAAAGCGGGGGTATATATGTAATATTATACCAATTTTTCAGTAATATATTATAATCAATCAAATATAGACTCAGTAAATTTCACCCAATATTTTCAGTAAAATTTTAGCCTACCAAACAACTTTTTGGTTACATTACCGGTAATCTCATTTTCCCATCACATTACTGTTAATTATGATTTCCGGATAAAAATAAAATTCTCCTCTACGAGACGCCCCCTAGCTGTTACTTGAAATTGATGGCTTTTCTAATATTGAGTATGGTTTCCGCAGGATGCAAGTCAATTTTTAAAGTATTTCACTACCTGTATGAAATGCCTACAAGCCTCAAAGTGGAGTTATAAGCTGATACCGCGAGAGTTATTTTGAATTTGTGACATGGCCTTCCAATATGAAATTAATGGAGCAGTTAATAAGGAGAAAAACTACTCGTTAGTCAAAGGGCTATTTGCTTTGTGCGTACATTGTTTCAACAGAGTCAAGTTATTAACTTGCTTCGCCAGCATGATAATTTGTACATGTGGCTGTAATTAGTGTTTATTTCAGATCCAAATTTGAGATGTTGCAAATTTCTTATTTACTCCACAAAATAAGAATGTATCATGTCCAATCATGATGTTTGCGTTGATACGCATCACCAACGTATGAAACTACTATCAATTCCATTTATAACGTAGCTCCAGGTATGATTCCTAATCATCAAGTGTCAGAGGCAGTTTGAATGCCTGTGGAGGGAATATTGCACCATTAAAGAATGAGTAAAGTGGGGCCTGCTATATCCTAGCCGTTATAGCCATCCTTAACGGCACCATTTCACATGCTTATAAATTCAAATTATCCAACGTTTTCAAAGATCAAAGCAGACAATATTCAACATCATAATGGCTTCTTCCAAGCTTAGAAGTGCATGCTCCTTCACAAGTCTCCTCCTTTGCTGTTTGAATTTCACTCTGTTTATCCTTTCTGCTTCCTCATTTGCGCCCACTGTCCTTCTCAAAATGCCCCCAACTTCCTTTGGCATGGCACTGCTTCTGGTTTCTGGCATCTCACTTCTCTCATCTTTTGTGGGCTTCTACTCACAGCTCACATACTTTTGTTTTCTCACCCACATTTCACTTGTACTCGCCTCATTGATAGGACAAGTGCTGAGCATATTAACCTTGTTTACAAAAGAGAAAGCAAGCCTCTCCCTTTTGAAGTCACCACGTGACCCAAAGGAAGCCAAACTTTTGTTAAGGCTAGAATGTGGGGCTTTGATGGCAATGTGTATGTTGCAGTTGTTGGTGTTGATATTGAGTTGTTCAGTTCATAGCTGTTGGGTGAAAGATTATGAAGAACTGGAAGCAGAGAAAGAGGCCACTACAAGGAAGAGGAGTATAAGGATTGCCAAAGTGCAAGAGGAATCCAAGGAAAATGCAACCAAGATTGCAGATATCAAAGCTAAGGAATTGGATGAGAAAATGAAAAGCAAGTATGGGCAGTGGGTGAAGACTGATTTTGAACCATGAGGCCACTCAACACCTTGCTCTATCTTCCTTCTACCTTGTACTAGTGTGTAGATATTTGCATAATTCATTTTTAATTCCTTCGTCAGTCGCCTATTGTTTGTTCTGGTCACTATGGGTGTGGCCATTGTATTCCAATGTGTGAGCATTCAAGGTAGAAGTAACCTAGGGACTTTCTATTGATCCATCAATAACGTCAATAATTTTTCATGCTTAATTTTTTCTTTTTTTTAAATTGAATGCTGTGAGTAAATCAAAAAAATTTCTTCCCCAGAAAATTAATTATTAATGTATAACCATTCTAAAAATAATCATAACATTAAACATCGTATGAGGGCGTTGTTAAGCCAAGGATTACACCATCGTTTAGTGTTTGGATGATTGGATGTTCCTGTAATGCTTGGCCTTACCTTGAATAATTGGACAATAATATGGGCCGAAAAAATAATTGAAAAATAGTTAAAGATGCTTGTTTTCAATGAGTGTCCTTAATTTTAATCCACCAATAATCAAGGTTTCACATTACAAAAGAATTGAAAAATAGTTAAAAGAGCTTATTACAAAAGAAGCCAGATAGCCCAATAATTCATAGGAGGAGATTCTGAAACATATAATAAGGAACAAGAAAACAACAAAAAAGAAAGGAGGCTGCTTGCTCAAGCAACCACATTTACCGTTTGTTTTGTAACTTTATCTATGTAAAAAAGTTACAAACACAAGCTTCATTTTTCTATGCACAAAAAAAAAAAAAAAAAAAAACCGTGGACAAGGGAGAGATTTTTTTGTTTTTATTCTTTTACCAAAATCAAAAAAGTCCGAGTTGCCTCATCCTGCTTTGATGTGAAATGATAACCTTTTTAAGTCCAAACAAGAAAAACGAAATGGTGAGGACCGTGAGAGGTCACGTTTCCTGTCCTGAAACTTCAAATACAAGGAACACAACCACGTGTTGCGGACAAACCGTGGGCTTCTACACCCGTGGTTTTGGAACTTTAAGGCATGGTGTTTTAAACCAATGGAATTACTAATCACCATATGAGGATTTGAATTTTATTCAACAATAGTCAGCTTTCTTTTCATCATGCTTTGAAATTTGGTCCAAATTAAATGGGTTTCAATTACAAATTTCATTTTTTGTTTTTACATTGTTCAATGTTTTTAACCAATTCTTATTGCATGAGAGAAAAAATCTTATGTTGTAGACACATACTAGTGAGACCCACTATCTAAAAAATAAAAGGATATATTTTTCTCATGTTGCATGAGACAACTGTCTCATGCAACACATAAAAAAGTAGATAAGATCCACTTTTTTTTCTTTCTCTCTCTTCTTCTTAGTGGATCTCACTCACTTCTTTATGTGTTACATGAGACAACTTGTCTCATGCAACATGAGAAAAATATTTTCCAAAAATAAAAAAGAAAGAAAAGAAAAATGTTGCACGATTATCGAAGGGTGTGTAGGAAGAAAACTTACTCCATGTGACAGCTGACGAGTTCGGGACTGGGACCCCGTGCTCAGCCCTCAGAGCCAATCCTTTTCCTGAGGTTACGGATCCATTTTGCCGACTTCCCTTGGACCCCCATTCCCAGCCCTCAGAGCCAATCCTTTTCCCGAGGTTACGGATCCATTTTGCCGACTTCCCTTGCCTACATTGTTCCATCGACCAGAGGTTGTTCACCTTGGAGACCTGATGCGGTTATGAGTATGACCGGGTGTGGGAGGCACTCGGTCCTCTGGATTTTCAAGGGCCGCCGCGGGCGCACCGGACACCACGCGACGTGCGGTGCTCTTCCAACCGCTAGACTCTACCTTCGGCTGAGCCATGAGAATAATTTTTCCCATTCTTTATTGACATGAAACAAAAACAACAAGCATATAAAAAATGACAATATTTTTTTAAGAAAGCTTTTCATTTCATTTAGAGCTAACCAAAGTATCACACCTTTTGCAAAAAATTATCTGAATACTATGCTTTTGTAATTTTTTTTTCAAAATGTCACGTCACCTAACTCGTTACGACATCTGATGAGTTCAATGTAACGAGATTACGGGACATCAAACGTGCTATGCAATATAGTATGTTACATCAGCTTTTCTGACACATGGCGGACGTTCTATGCAGCATAGCATGTTACGTGTGTGTCATAAAATAATTTAAATTAATATATAATAAATTAAACTAAAATAATTAACAAATATAAATTACATTTAATTCATTAACACTCCTAAATTAAATTACATTACTTAAAGATTCAAATAAAAGTAACATAACTTAAATTAAATTAATTTAAATTAATTAACAGTTATAAAATAATTTAAATTAATATAGACTGAATTAAACTAAGATAATTAATTAACACTTCTAAATTACATTTATTTTATTTTTTATATAAAAAATGGCGTGATAGCGGCAAGCAATAATTGGCACCGTGTTTCTTGGATTCTAAACTGCAGTTTCAATCATCATCATCATCTCAGACTCAGATCATATTATATCACTATCATAAAATAAATAAAATGTAAAGTAATAGCCATATCCATAAACGCCCATTCTATCTTCAATCTTGAACTCACAAAAAATCACAACTTCAAATTGCACCTACTTTTATCCATTCATGAAAAATGATTGGGTTGGCTGCTACTTTCAACTTTCGACGCATGTTTTCTTTTCTTTCCTCTGCCAAATCCTTCTTCACCTTTTCCTCTTTACTTTAATTTGTGCACAAGATTAGCATTTTCTTTTGGGCACAAACGAACACAATAAGCCTCTTGAACCCCTGAATCTCATGCCTTCAATTTCCATGTTATCGACTACAATTGACACACCCAGTGTTTGCAAATGCCCAAGAATCGCTGCTTCTTGGACCATGTCAGTTTCAATCTTGACACTTTTCTTCGATTTCCAAAACCATTTTCGTTGCTTCAATAAGATTTTAGCTTATTTCTGTTAGGACTATGGATTCGAATTTTCCCCCACCATTGAATAACAAGAAGAAGAAAGAAGTTTCAGTGCAGCTTTCAAGTTCAACGCCACCCGTGCCCAGCAGGGTAGAGACTTTAAGGTTCTGCGATCTCCATTTTGATAGGTTGCAGCCTTCAGACCAAGAATTGGATCAACACAATAGATTTGAGTTTGGCCAATTTGTTGCACGACAAGCCTTTCTTGATGAAGAGTATTGGGTAAGCCATCTAATTAATACACACAAAAAGAAAATTATTAGCTTGCTTCTTCTTCTTTTCTCTTTATTTTCTATTTGTTTTGTGAGGGAGAAACGGTAAGGCTATGGCCGGAAGTTCACTGGTTCAAATCTAGAAAATTGTTTCTTCATAAAAAATGCAAGGACACTTAATTTTCGTCAATCGAATGGTTGTAATTTATTGAGTTATATTTATTAATTAATTTTTAATTTTTAATAAATTATAATCGTTAAATTGACATAAATCAACCATTAAGATTTAATAATAAGAGGTAATAAGAAAAAGAGACAGTATATATAATAATCTCTTTGTTTAGTATTCATATGTAACTTAAACTTATCCCTTATATATTTAATTTAATTATTAATATTTATGGTAGACTGCAGCATGGCTAAGGGCAGAAAGTCAGTGGGAAGATCGAACATATGAACGGTATGACACAGACAAAATACATCAGAATAGTTATTTAGATGTGTTCGAAATTTCTTCATTTCTTAATAGAGGTTCAGGATAATGAGGGTGAAAAAGTTTGTTGGTTGCTTACTATGGGTTCAATTTTTTTGTGGTGTCTAAATCAACACATTGTATCTGTGCCATTTTCATGAAAGAAAACTTTTAAGCAGAAGATCAAGTCAAGTGCATTGATCCACAATAGATGAAAAGTTGAGTGCCACTAATTCTAATTATGTTTTGTCCAGATATGTTGATCATTACAAAAGGAATTTTGCAGATGAGGTGGGAGTTGATTGCTAATTGCTTTGCTTATTCAGTCTTTCATGAAAATCTTAATAAGAATTCCTATTGCTTAGGAATTTAATGCGATAAAGAAGCGGTGCAGGGTGCAAAATGGGGAGAGTTGCACATGCATTATCACGGTAAAACAATCTTCTGTTAGATGCAGATATATAATTAGTTTCGAAGCTCTGATTTTCTGATAAAACACCTGTTTATATATCATTTTCTGGGTTAATTGTCCTTGAGTATGTTTTCCTCTTACGGTGTTTGGAGTCAAGTTTATCAGGTGAGGAAGGAGAAGAAGAATGTAAAACGATCAATATTAAAAAGTGTTGTAGGAACACTTGATTTGAATATCCGATATTTGCTGCAAGGGGAGAAATTTCCTGGGGTATATCACATTCTTTCTAGTTGAGATGCAAATGTATAAGATGCTCAGTCTAGCCTGATGATTTTTCAAATGCAGGAACGGGTAAAGGCTCCTCCTTTTTGTAGCATCAATAGAACACCATCAAGCAGATATGGCTATATAGCAAACTTATGTGTCGCCAAATCAGCTCGTCGCCAGGGTATTGCAAGCAATATGTTATATTTTGCTGTTGAATCTGCAAAGTCTATTGGTAATTAGAACATTGAAGTGAGAGTAACTTTTGCTATCCATGTCTCTGATATAGTACATGAAATAAGACCGAAATTTTACCATCTATTCCCGTATTCGTTTAGCAGGTGTGGCACGTGTATATGTTCATGTGGACAGAAATAATAGACCTGCCCAAATACTCTACCAAAACTTGGGCTTTGAGGTAATACAACTTTTAATTCATCCATATTCCCCGTTTTCGTGAAATGCTAATTCAGGTAGTTTCCTCCTCCTTATCACTTTTTTCAGATAGTTGAAATGGCGAACTCCCTGTTGTTAAATGATCAAACATACTTGCTTCATTTACAGACGTAAAGCACCAAGATATTAATATTGCTTCGATTGGATAGCTTCTTAACAGTAACAGTCGTGAATTCCATATCCAAATACCCCCGATTCCTGTAATTAATAGAGGTTTAACGGTACAGTTGATGTAAATGCATGTATATGTCCCTTTTATACAAATTTAACGAGAACCCCTTTTTCTCTTCCCCCTTCCTCCTTCCCTTTATAACTTTAAAGATTTTTTTTTTCTTACCGAGGTAATATTTGTACAAATTAACTATTATGATTTTGTAATTTTTTATTTTAATATTTTTTCTATCTAAGCTCTTATTATCATTGATTCCCCCTTATAATTATGATCTTCTCACATAACATAATCATGTTAAATTACACATTTACTAACTCTTAGCATCAACCCATCGGTTCAGTAACAAAAAATGAGCGTCAAAATCATTCTATCTATGTTTACAACCCCACACTAGTTTTTAGGTTTTGGGTTACATATTCACAGGTTCACGAATTGATTGAGCACACTTATTGTTGGCCAAAATCGCAAATGAATCGCAACTCTAAATCTCTAATGCTAAATTGACTAAAATTTCTACATACAGTCGACCAAATATCCAATTAATCTAAAAGTTTTATAATAATTGATGCACTCAAATTGAAAGTACACCTTTCCCAATTTTAAAAGGTATCGTCAACGTCCAGCACTGGCCTTGCAATTAGGAATTCTTACTCGTACAGAAATCCATATTTTCCTTTTAATCTCCACTAAAGTCGTAGCAAAATTTTATGACTTAGTAGACATACCTGGGCTGGACTTTTCTTCCTTTTTTCAGGAAAAAACTTTATTATCTGCCTCAGTTCAGGTTTAGAATTTAGAGTGTACATATCCTCCGTACACAAGGTTTCGAAACTTTTCATCCTTTCTGCTAGCATATGCTAGTTTGTATGTTTGACTTTGAATGCTTGCGCAACAAGGAAGAATGTATTCTTCTACACTTACAATTAGACTATTGCAGTCAATCAACTAAGACATCACTAAAACAAAAGGTAAAAACGGGCAACACAGTGATTTCTTTGTCACTTCAGTTAACACCATGTTAGCAGAAAGTTAAGTCTGCTTCGACAAGGAATAGCCAAAAATTATGCCAAATTTCTCCATCTATATAATCTCATTTCTGATTCAAATATATATCTAATTTACCGAGACTGATGAATAACGCAAAGCACCTTGATGAGGATCAGCCACTTTGAGATGTTGCAATAAAGGAGACATCTTTGGTCCAATGAGCTGAATCTCTGGGTTTGAGTGCCCATTCAGAAAAACATCTGTTACCTACAAAAATGCATAACATTTAAAATATTTTCTGACAAATCAGCTAATCTCTTTATATAGAGACTCAGGGAATCATATTATTTTATATATTTTTCTATGACCACCAGAAACTCATCACAGAAATGCCTTTGACGTGGGTTTAATGATAGATATATATACCTGTGTGCATCCAAACAGTTTAAGGAACCTCAGCGAGAAGCAGCTATCTACAATCAAACCCAACTCATCATCTTTCAAATTTCGGCACCAAGATAGATCAAGAGTATGCAAATTTTTTGCATGGCTTGCAAGTGATAAGGTTGTGTGGTGGCCAACCTGAATCAAACGAAATATGACAGGCACTCAGAAAATGAAACAGTATAACTAAGATTTAGCAGGCCGCCATAGCTAAAAAGCTAACTGAAAACCAAATAGCAGAAAGATTAACAACGGTATCAATTAGCTGAGTATATTCAAGGGTCAATTGAGACCAGTGTCTTCATTCAACAGGAGGGCAGGGCTTTGTTTCATGTGATTCCATAAAGACCAGTGTCTTCCGTCAACAAATGACATATACTAGAATCATGACACACATTTACGTATACATTTTCTTATTTTGATTTATATTGTTCATAATGTCATATCATATGTGCTAGTTGTGAATTCAATTTTTGAAGATTATGATGAAAATAAATTGCAGCATACGATGTATGTTGAAGTGTCTGCTTGGATAAAATTATAACCGTCTTTTTGAGAGGGGTTTAAAACCTTAGTCCCATGACCTGCCCCGAATCGAACTAGTCCCAAAGCGATGAACCGATTGGAAAATCTCAAAAAAAAGAAAAAGAATATGAACAGATAATAAAGAAGCAGTGGCACTTCGAGCACATAATCGACTATTTTTTTGTTAGGCTATGTTGAAAATTGGTTAATTAATCTTTTTTTCGAGCAGGGAGAAGCCTTTCCATCATGTCACAATGTTCTAGCTGCCCATGTGTTTAAAGTGTGTGTATAGCACATACATCCACAAACCTGCAAGCCAATGTTGAGATAGTCAACGAGGCAGTATAACAATGTACCTTCTTAATGTTATTAAGTGAAAGTTCTTTCAAGGATTCTCCGGTGGTCTCCAAAAATGCAGCAATTGCTTCATCACTGTAGTAGAGAAAAATTTGTGTTAATTTTATTCATCAATAGGGATTTAGAAGGGATCAAGATTACATGCAGTAAGCACTCCGAAACACCATCCAAGGACACATCAAGCATATTATGCATACATATACTTGGAAATAGGATAGATGGACTAATGTTCTCAAATCCCTGAGTACAAAAGGATATATTTTATTATTGGTAGTCCAGGACTTCAAGAAAGGAATCCGTCAATCAGATCATATGAAGAAATACTCATGACATTCCAAATGCTGGAAAATGAATTCCAATCCATACACAAGAAATAACAAAACCAATAAATTATATTGGAATATGACCCTCTATCCCTACCCTAGTACAGAATCTGATGCATTTTAAGGAAGACAGGGACAACAGAAATCTAATTGAAATATGCTTGGAAGGTTGGCAATTAATAATAAACGACTCCTACAGAGAATGCATATTATCACAGAAACAAAGATAACCATCCTATTAAAAAGTTGGAGACACCTATAAGTGAGTCATCCCCTTGCAAAGAACACACTGATTACAGACAAGTCTCTAGCAAAAGAAATATGCAAAAGTATAATGATACACCTGAAATTACAGGAACCGAGAAAATACCTGAATGGATTGCGGCAGAGCTTCAATGTATGAAGTGCTCGACAATTATTTGTAAGATATCGTATGGATGAATCTGTCAGTTTGGACAAGTTCATAAGATCAAGCACACACAACCCTGGGCAATGTTCAGCAATGACTTTCATTGATGCATCAGTCAATTTTCTGCACATTGAGAAGCACAAATCAATGAGCTAGAGTTAAAAATAATTTTTAGGAATCAAAGAAAATAAGGAAACTACAATTTGGAATTCCTAGAAAACATGATTCCAAGTTAGGAAGAATTAACCAATTTAGAAACAATGGTTAATCAATGCTCAAAGAGTTATCAACTGTTAACCAAACCCTTATTGGATTAACCATAGATCGTAGAGGTTTGGTTAATTTTTCCCTGATTGGAAATTGTTCACCAAGACTTCCTAAATAGGAATTGTCCCAAGAAAATACTTCGGCAAGAGCATCACTTCTTAAGGAGATTCCAGGCATGAATCAGACTGCTCAAATAATACTTACATACAGTCCTTTAAAACAAGCTCCTTCATGTTGTGACCACGTGCAATGATATAATCCTTGATAAATTCATCACAAACAGTTTGAATGCCAGCCATTGACAATACTTCTAAATGTTCAAGTTCCTTCAATGCTGGCACAATTAGTGCAGCATCAATGAGTTGGCAATCATCGAGATACAACTCTTTCAGAAGTGATCCTAACGAATCAGCCAAAATATTGAGACAGGCAGATGTGAGAAGGGAGCACTGGCTTAGATTTATTGATCTAAGTACTGGGGCAGAAGAAACTAGTACACTCAACCCCTTATCTGAAAGACGGCATGCACCACTGAGGGACAGACTAGTTAATCTTGCCATTGGTGATTGTGCCAAAGTAGCATGTAGCGCATAATCAGATATGCATCGTCCACACTGGTCAAGTTGTAGCACCTATTCCACAAGTAAATATGTAATCTGAATTCAGATCGTGTGGTATTTTAAAACTAAAACCTGAAAGAAGCAGCTAATCAAATCTTCAAAAAAGCAAATAACAGAGCATATAAAAACTACAAGCTAGCATATACACAACGAAAATTAAACGACAGAGCAAAGAAAAACATTGAAAAAGGATAACTACACACACATGAAGATTAATAAAAAGAAAGAAAGAGATAAACAAATTGCCCTGTTAAACAATCAAAAAATATATATCCCAAATTGAGATTCTCCAATCCGTTGAGATGCTAAATGGAATTCAACATTCAACAAAGAGAAATCAAGTTAAAACTGTCATGCCATAGTAGTGAAAGTATCATATCTCCTCACCAACAAAAATCCATCCATACAAAACAAATGAATAAGAATAAAAATGCTAGGATTCCTACTGAAACATATGAAACATTAGCCTCAACTGTAGCAAAATTACGAGAAATACCTACATCTATCAAATCATTTAAAGAACATACCTCCAATCTGGCAGTGTCACACGTTTGAAAAGATTTGGTAAATTGTTCCTCTGACAACCATGAGCAATCTTTTAGCCTAATCTCTGTAGGAGACCCACTGACAAGAAGTTCAAAAAAGTGACTGTTAATTTTGCGAGAGTCACAGAGCAACTGGCTAAGCCTGTGCCTCAGCTCATCAGGGACACCATCAAGTGAAACAATTGCATCAGCATTATTGGCAAGAACTTTTAGGCATAGTTCTTCCAAAGAGGGAACAGAAAGCCTTGCACATACATCTTCGTGATTCCTTTTAGGAACCCATGTAATGCATGCAGGTGCACAGCGCTTTTGCGTGGCTTTCATCCATCGATCTTTAACAGTTTTCCAGGCTGTAGAGAAAGGAGTTGGGCTATCATCAATCTCATGTTCCACTTCAGGCACGGGAGATGACCCATCATCTTGAACATCCGGTGCAAAACGTGCAAACCGAGATGCATTTTCCTTGGCTATTTCTCGAAACTTTTCCACGATCCTATTCCTTCTGTAATCATCATGCACTCGTTGGTAAGCTACATTATCATCTACTCTCTGGACAATGTCAAGGTTTCTGTCATCGTCTGAATTCTGGTTTTGGGATTCAGCTTCAAGAATAACAGTAGCTAAGAAATCAATTTCATTCAGCGGCTCTTTCATTTTCTCTTCTCTGCTGAATCTCCTCTGACCCACATCACCATAGTCATCACCAACCCTTTCACTGCTACTGCTATCATCAGATTCATCACCCAACTTTCTTTTCCCTCTTTGATCATTTTCCTCCGAAAGAAAATAATCGGTGACGAGAGCAGTGTTTTCAAATTCATAGCCAAATTTAACGGCATCAAAATGATCGTCGTTTCCAATATTTATCCTATTGCGCTTAGCACTGGCATTATCATCCATTGATAGAGCACTTCCAGAGATATCGATTCCTCTCTTGAGAAACCCTTGCCCTCCTCTTTCACCTCGTTTACTGGTAGATCCATGATGACCCAGACCTCGCAAGTCGAAGTTTGGGTCGTCGAAAAACTGGGTAATAATTGTGTCAGTGTCAACGTCGTAAATCTCAATCGCAGTTCCAGGAGAACCCAGGCCCAGGCCCAGACCCAGGCCCAGTTGTTGATGGTGGTGAGCAATTTGTGGGTCGACGTTGCCGTCCTGAGATTCACGTCCACGATCGGAGGGTGGGAGGGAAGGGGATTGGGATTGGGAAGGTAAGGGAAAATTTGAATTAGGGTTTGGGAAAATCTCATTCATGAATTGAAGAGACGAAGAACAAGGTTTGGGAGTGAGAGGTTTTGGTTTTGATGTGCTTCCATTAGTTGGGACCATCTTGCTCTTCTTTGAGGTTAGAAAGTCATGCGAAACCGATCGATCCATAACCATGGTTGATGCAGAGACTATATAGAATGATAAATAAATAAAGAATAATAATAATAATAATAATAATAAAAGGGTTTGGGCTTTGCCTTTTTTGTATTCCCCTCTCACTCCCACTGTCCCACACACACCCTTTGTGAAGAAGTAGAACAATTCCAACGGATTTGGAGAAAGAACGAAACAAAGAACGAAGATAGCAAAAAATAGAGTGAGAATGAGAGAGAGAGAGAGGTGTTATTTATTATTTCTTGCGGAGAATAGAAACTTCTTCCGTACACCTCACCCGATGTGATGTTCAGCTTATGCTCTTCTCTCTCCTCTTATCTTTTTTTCCGCCACATCAGTATATCTTTCATTTTTTTATATTACTTTAATATAATATATAAGTAGTGTAAATCTATAACCTCGTCCAAATTATTCAACATTAATTTTTTCTACTTCAATTTGAACGCATGCACTTATTATTATATATCAATGCCATTTAGTTGCCTCCTATTTTTAAAATAAAAAAAGTTTCCAATGTTTGACTGTCTCTAAACATATTTAACACAATAAAACTTGGAATGAATCCACTAAAATAAAAAAAAGCAAGAAAATGATTGATATATTAATGAATTGTAATAATAAAAATATCACCTCATAATTTATTAAATAAAAAACATTTTTATAATTATAAATAAAATTAAAACATCCTTACTTTTTCTTTTAAAAAAAAAGTTACTCATAAGTTGCAAACACATAGTAAAAAATATATTTTTTGAGATATTTCAACTAATTTATTATTTTGTGATTATCCAATTTAAAGCGAATTTCAAAAATAAGACTTTAAAACTTTTTTAAAATAGTGAGGAAGAGTAACACATGACACATAGTCAATTCTAACTTGGCCCGATACTCTTTTTAACATTAATTTATCTATATGATGGAATAAGAAAATTCGGGCCCTGCTCATTGCTTTTTGCCTTTGTGAATGTTCGAAGGCCAAAGCACCCAAAAAGTCACGGTATTCGGCGTCTGATTTCTCACTAACGTAAAAAGTCCTTTTTCATTTACTTTTATTTTTACCTTAAATAATATATTTCAATCCGATTTATTTCAAAACTTTCAAAAATCTCTTTCATATTAGTTATTTTTTATTTTTTTAATATATTTTATGCATAATTAATTGTATAATTTTTAATAATAGCTTCAATTTTATATTGATTAAATAATTAATTCCTATTTTTTTATAAAATACGTCGTTTTGCCAAATTAATTACACATAAGAGAGATACACAATTTTCATGTGGTAAAATCAAATAAGTATACTCAGTAGGTGTAATATTCAAAATTAAAAAAAAAATTATTAAAAAAATATTAAAAAAATATTAAAAAATTTAAAAAAAAATAAAATTTAAAAAAAATTAAAACAAAAAATTGACGCCATTAGCATGAATAATGGCGCCAATGGCGTCAATTGTGGTGTCAACGGAAGAAAAGAAAAAAAAAAAATGAAACAACGCCAGTAGCGCCAAAATGGCGCCTTTAGCGCCAAGAGTAATCAAATTGGCGTCAGTTGCGCCTATTCTTACACGAAGGGTGTGGATATGTATCAAACGAGGATATGTGTCAGATGCTGTTTGTGCCAATTTTCACGCGAAGCGCGTGAACGTAAATATATATGTTTACGTATATGTAAAATAATAATAATAATGATAATAATAATAATAAAAAGAAATAAGTAATTAAATATTAAGATAAATGTATATAATATATAATATATTAATTAATAAAATAAATAATAATAGTATAATAATTGAAATAAATATATGAATATATTATAGAAAGTGAATAAAATGTAAACAGGAAAAAGTGGAGCCATCTGATAAATGTTTACGAGAATCTTTCGAGAAACGTATTACGTGGTTAGTTATTATCTCAATAGCAATCATTACTTAGTAACAATTTAACTAGTTCGTTCAAATCTAATGAATCTAACTCAATCGTAAGCAGTCTTTTTTGTATATATATATATATATATATATATATATATATATATATATATATATATATATATATACGTCGTATACATAAGAAGAAGAAAGAAAAAAAAGAAGACCAGTGAAAGAGAGAGAGAGAGAACAGCGAGAAGAAAAAAAGAGAGAGAGAAAGAAAAAGAAAGGAGGAAAGCGACGAGACAGTAACGAAGCATAAGGTAATATTGAGAGTTTTAAAAAACATTCTCTCGTGTTTCAATCATTTTGCGAAAACGATGTTTAATTTTAATACCTCTGTCATCTTACCGAACTCTTCTCTATATATTCTTCTGTTTCTTACCGAACTCTTTTCTTTATATGTTTTCTGTTGAGTTTATTCTTTGGTTTTTATTCTTTTGCAGTATATTATTTTTCTTTTAAATTTTATTTCTTTACAACAACAGATTATCATGTTGACGAATTGTTTGGTACCAAATAATTATGAAGAAAATATGTAAATTTAACTGATGAAGACTGCTACGAACTGAACCACAGAGTTTGGGTTCAGACGATTATAGGGTAAGGGACGCCTTATCGTGGTTTGAGCTCTTCCACAATAAATCTTTCATATGCAGAAGACCACAAAGTTGGGAAATTATTTAACTTCAGTTAAATATTACACAATGTATTATTTATTATATTATTTAATTTTTATTAAATTATCTGAGAGAATGGTATTTTCCGTTATTACGGCTATAAATGGTTATAGTTAGAAAACCTCAATGTTACTTAGAATTTTCTCACGTGTGTTTGTTTTGTGCTAACCTTTCCAGAAAATCATAATGCCTACTCTAAGCTTAGCAGGTGAAGGATGGAGTATCAATATTTACTCTTATGAGGACCGCATGGAGTTTTATATTGTAGTAGGAAATCAAGGAGTTGCTTCAATATTCTATGCTGATAGTATGGAGACCTACACCTATAAGCTAGATTAGGATAAGACTTTTGTATTGTATAATTATGTGATGTCAGTATGTAAGATATAAACTGAAGTGATGTAATATTTAGTAGACTGTAGGACCTATATAAAATAACTCATTTTTGTATCTGACGTAACTTTATCCATAAAGTAATGTTGGTAGATGTTTATATAATTTTCTTTACTGTTATTATCATCGATGTGTATTAATTAATAACATTAATTCCTTTCCATCTTATTTCTCACTGACGATGCATAAAGCGAAAACATATATATAAGAAATCATGTAATATTCCTTACAAAAGTTAACAGCAAGAGATGTTACAATTTATGGTATCAGAGCAGCGGTTCAGGTAAATAAAGTACCTAAACTATTTTATTTGTTAGGTATTTTAGATTATGTATATTTTCAATTATTTCACTGAGCCTGATCAACTCACTATCATAAAACAATATATGTAGATCTATGGCAGATGCAAGGAAGATATCTTCTTCCACTTCTGAACCAGAAGTTAACCCAGTAACGGATGCATTTACCCGCGTAGCAGAAGCTCTTAGAGAACAGGTTGTAACTAATCAGCAAATTGTTCAAGAGTTAAGGGAGGATCGTGCTACCAGAAATCATACCCATAATAATGAAAGTGAAAGTGGACCTAGATTTTTCAATGCTTTGGAAGGACCTAATTCTGATTACAAGGGACTTACAGAATTTCGTAAGTATATAAACCATCCACTTTTCATGGAGACTATAACCCTAAAGCAGCAATGGAATGGATAAAAGAACTTAAGAAAATATTTCTAGTAATGGACTGTCCTAATACTCATCGTGTAAACTTTGTCACATACTTGTTGATTTGAGAAGCAGAACATTGGTGGACAAATACTAAAAGATATTTCCAAAGCCAAGGAACAGAGATAACTTGGACAATCTTTAAAGATGCCTTTTTGGAAAAATATTTTCCTCAAAGTGTAAGAAACAGAAAAGAAATAGAATTCATTGAACTAAAACAAAGAAACATGACTGTTGGAGAATATGTGGCAAAAATTGAGGATTATCTAGGTATTCTAATTATATACAGAATCAACCTAATGAGGAATGGCTAACAACTAAATTTGAATCTGGACTAAAACCTGAACTAAGAAGTATGATAATAGGACACCAAATCAGGAATTTTTCATCATTAATAAACAGGTGCAGAGACATTGAAGCAAGTATGAAGGAGGCTGAGGATGCAAGAGAGAAAGACAGAGCTTTAAATCGAAGAATGAGTGATGACAATAATAGAGGGAGGTTTTCACGGGTGCAAAACTCGGGAAACAATTTTGCTAGCAATGGAGGGAGGAAGAATGTGGGTCGGACAAATTTCCAGATTCAGGTATGTCCAAAATGTAAGAAAAATCATGCTGGAGAATGTTTGGCAGGAAGAGGTGTGTGCTTTAAATGTGGAAAGCCTGGACATACGTTGAGGAATTGTCCTCAGAATCCAGGTCAGAATTCAGCACACCAACCTACAACAAGAGGAAGAGTTTTCACCTTAGATGGTCAGAAAACAGCTCAAGCTTCAAACTTGGTTCAAGGTACGGGCTTAATACAAGATTATCTTATAACTATACTTTTTGATTCTGTGGCATCTCATTCTTTCATATTCTCATCTTCTACTCAAAAGTTACACTTACCCATTTCCATTTTACCTTCTTATCTTGAAATCTTTCTTCCTACTAGGGAGAAAATCACCACATCTCAAGTCTGTAAAAATTGTCCGCTTCAAGTCGAAGGGAAAAAATTTAGAATAGATTTAGTTTGTTTGCCTATGATTGACATTGATGTAGTCCTTGGTATGAATTGGTTGTCTGCAAATTGTGTGGTCATTGATTGTCAAAATAAAAATATAATTTTCACAAGAGAGTCAGAACTTCCCAGTGAATCTTTATTCTTGTCAACTTCCCAACTTAGGAAGAGTTTGTTAGACGGAGCACAAAGATATGTTCTCTTTAATCTTTCAGAAGCAAAGGTTAAACCTGATGCAATCAATATCCCTATTGTCTCTGAATACTCAGAGGTTTTTCTAGATGAAATTCTTGGTTTACCCCCAAACAGAGAAATTGAATTCTCCATTAACGTAATACCTGGAATAGGACCAATTTCTATTGTACTCTATAGGATGTCACTTATAGAGCTTGTTGAACTAAAGAAACAATTAGAGGAACTTC